GGCCTCTGAGGGCACTTGTGAGTACACAGCGCACATAGACTCATGCAGACATTCACACATTTACACATACACCTAAATCTTGAAGAAAAAAGAAGCAGCTTAGAAGTTAGGGGTGGTGATACACACTTGCTAGTAGCTCTTGGGGACTGAGCCTGTAGAATGGAGACCGCCAAAGGAGCCTTGGCTGTGTAACAAGTCTCAAAAAGCGGCACACATACAAAACTAGAAAATCGGGTTGAGAGAAACGGTCTATGCTAAATTTTCTTTTTTTTAAAAGATTTATTTATTTATTATGTATACAATGGTCTGCCTGCATGTGTCCCTGCAGTTGGCACCAGATCATATTACCAGTGGTTGTGAGTCACCATATGGTTGCTGGGAATTGAACTCAGGACCTCCGGAAGAGCAGTCAATGCTCTTAACCACTGAGCCATCTCTCCAGCCCCCATGCTAAATTTTCTATACAGTCGCCCACTTACATATTCTAAAAGCCACTGTGGTGATTCACCTTTTCTGCCACCACACCCCCTTTGGCTCCCACAGTAATCACTGGAGCAGAATAAATGTTCAGCACTTGGAACAACTGTCATAACTTAGTTGGGGCGGGGGCTGAAAATATAGCTCATTTGGCAGAGTGCTTGCCTTGCAAGCATAGGGACCTGAGTCTGAGCCCATGTAAAAGAGACCGGACATGGGACAGAGACAGAATGTCTTGGCTCTCTGGCCATCTAGCCTACCTGGGCAAACCCGAGGCCAGTGCGAGACTCAGTCTCATTAAGAGGTGTATGGGGGCAACTGAGAGGACTCAGCAGTTATAGGCACTCGCTGCTAAGCCCAACACCCTGACTCTCCAGGACCCACACGGTAGGAGAGAATTGACCCCTGACCGCTGTCCTCTGAACTTCATACCTACAGTGCAAACACACACACACACACACACACACACACACACACACACACACATACACACACGCAGACACAATATTAAAAAGAAAAGATGCTAGTGGCCTCCATGTACACACAAGCACAGGTACTCTCAAATACAGAGGATGAAGGAGTTAGGTGCTTTCTGCCATTTTTTGTTTACTTATAATCATACTAGATAAGGTTTTTTTGTTTCCACAGTCCTAAGTGAAATAATTTAAATAAAGTCCCAAGAATGAAATCTTTGTCCAAAAGCCTTATCCCGAGAAACAATGATGGCCATCTGAAGAAGGTGGTCACTTTTCTAAAGACCTAGATAGTTAGGACATAAACGGAAGCAGTAGCCTTCACAAAGCCATTTCAGGGTTGCTGGTACAAGGCCATTAAACACTGATTAGACACAATGTCAACACATTTCTGTGGCTTGTTTTGTTCTTGGTTTGTTTTCATACAGGCAAAATGGTTATGATAATCCCATGTTAATGACACTCTGCAGTATCATTAGGAATATACGAACATTGGCTGTAAGCTAGTTTTTAGCTAATGTGCTCTGTCTGCCCCAAGAGAACGCGATCTCTCCATTTCTGTTTCATTTTCACGCAGGCCTTGCATGGAATTTTCCTCTCCTCTTCATTCTGCCAGATTAATACGTGGTCACGTGTGCCTCACATTGTTTTCCTCTGGGAGGCTAGGAACTTCATTTCCTCCTCCCGCTTCATCCTTTCTCTCATTTTAAACTGTAACCAAAATCTTCTTCAGGGTCCCTCTGGTCTCTGTGCTAACGGGAGAGCCCTGAAGGGAAGGAGAGGGAAAGAGAGGGGTGGCAGAGAGATGGGGGAAGGGGAGGGAATGGGGGAAAAAAGAGGGGAGATCAAGAAAGCAGCTGGGAGCCCTGAGTTGTAACTGTCTCCATGGAAACAATTCCTTAGCGACCAGTCTGGAAACAGTTCTGGGGCAGCACGGTCCAATCGTACCAACCCTCACTAACAGGGTTCAGATGGGTAGGGGAGGAACAGGATTCTTTTCTTAACCAGTAAACTAAGACACTAATAAAAATTACAGTTACCACCCCATAATGCATCTTTAGACTAAAAGATTCCTACTTTCTGTAGTAAACAGGAAAAAGGCCTTCTAAATTTTCATAGTGTTTGTAAAGAGTGCTCATTGTAAAGAAATTATGGGAAAAAAATACTTCCAAAAGAAACATCACCATTGGGCGGAAAAGTCAGACATCAGAATCAGGAGAATGATCTGAGGATGTCGCCCAGAACCACACAAGTGTGTGCAAAGAACGCCAAATTCACTTGGGTTGCAAGGACATTGAGTTCCAGGTGAAGAAAGGGGATTACAGGATTCCCCCTACCAAATCGGGCTGGAAGAATGAAGAAGCCATGTAATTTAAACCCACAGAAGGAAACCCCGGGGGAGAATTCATCTGAAGTGTAGAGCTGGGAGTTTTACTGAAAACCAATTACATTTTAAAGGGAGAACATGCTTTAGGTCCTAACTTCAATCCCCAGCCATTAAAAGAAGGGGGAGACTTTTGAGGGCTTATAGTAACAATAGGATAACCAAGCTTCTGCAAGTCTCCAACCAATAAACTTCCTTGTAACCACACACAACAAAAAGGGGGGGGGAGGGTTTAGAGCTAAATCACTCAACTCTATCCCTTTGGCAACTATTTTCCTTGTTCTGAGATTAGGAACAGCATCTGTGAAATGAGGACCAGCTTTTAGGGCTATAGAGACAGTTGTGTGGAGGGTAGGAGGGTCAGGAGTTCATGGACATCCTTGACTACCCAAGAACAAAGACAATGAATTGCTTACGATGCCTATCTCCAGTGAAGCTCTTAATAGACCCGAGTTATTACGGATTCTGTAACATCTTTTGGTTTTCCTGTCTGTAATTATAACCACACTGCCTCCCACCCCTTTTTCCCTGAGAAATATTTTGGGTTAAACCAGTAGAGCACTGAAGACATTTAAGTAACTCTGAAGCCGAATCAACGCTGTGGAATGAGTTTCCGAACAGTCTCGGCACTCCGGTGAGCCTCTGCTTACGCAGCGATCCAAACCAGACCAAATCAGAGTGAGTTAGAAAAAGTCCAGGTCTAAAGGATAAAAACGCTCCCCGGAATGGTTTCCCAAACCCCCAGAGAGGAGACGGGGAAAGGAAGACCGGAAAACCACATATCTGTTTTCTGGGTGCAGTTTAAGTCCCCTGCGGGAGTGGTCTTGAGCATCTCTGGGGGAGAGGTCATCACTTGGTGGGCTTTCTGAGATGCAGCAGAGAGATGCAGGAGAGAGATGAGGGGAGGGGGCTTGGGATGGAGCTTCAACCCAAACACTCCAGACTCTTTGGATATATGGATGCCAGGGGCTGGGGTGAAGCTTCCACCCGAACATTTTCCATACCAGAAACTAAATAATTGGCCTCCTGGCTCCAGTCTAGACACACACACACACACACACACACACACACACACACACACACACACAATCCCATGGTAAATCAAATCCATCCCACACTGCTAATGTCCCCCACCGTCTTTAGCACCAAGAAATCTTTGAACAGCACACTGAAGGGTGACTACAAGGTATTCCCTTCACATTTACAACCTTAACTGGTCCTGCCTGACCTGTGACTAAACTCAGCCTCTTTGCCCGTTAACTTGCTTTGTTCTAAGTCTCTTACCCCAAGATTGCTCTCTACCTCCCCACAGACTTTTCTGATGTGCCAGTTGTGTTAAAACTTAAAAGGCCATAAATGTGTCATGAGAAACCTTGGTAGCAGCATGGAACCCCCAAAGGGTTTCGTACGCGTCTCCTGTAAGCATAATTTTCAGGAACACCAAACTTTATATAGAAAACGAAGACAACTGCCACAAACCACTGAGCTGTCACTGGGCTTAATTACGAGAAAAATTAAACTTAATGACGAGAAAAATTAAACATGGAAACCAAGAAGTCAAGGCTGGTTGGGCTAGGCAGGAGAGCAAAACCCCAGGCTAGGACCGAAATCCTGCTGGGTGTCTTTGTATCTTTGCAGGCAAAACATCCATTCTTTTTTCTGGTTGCATAACTCAAACATGGTGGAAGAGAAAAGCCTTTCCCTGGTTTTTGGGGTGCAGAACCACGTGGGCCTTTACGGGATGTTTCCTCAGGGGAGCAAGATAGCGCCTTAGCAAACAGCCACGCCACGGCTCCTCAGAACCCACGCACGTCCTCCGGCGGGAGGAACAAAAGCGAGCTCTGAGGATCTGACGGCCGACCGAGAAACCAGAGAGCTGCGGAGTCCCCGCTGCAGTCAGGAAGGCCCCTAGTGCGCAGGCGTTTTTCTGCCCCACCCCCGCCGAAACCGGTCTGTCAGTCGAGTCTCGCGAGAGCGGCGCGGCCGGCCCGGGCGCTCCGCCCCGCCCCCTCCTCCTCGCTCGCTCCCTCCCATCCCCCCTCGCCAGTGTCTGTGCTGCGCAGCTTCCTACGCGGTCGTCGCCGCTGGGGACGGTTGGGCGGGAGAGACCGTTGTCGGGAGTGCCACCCGCGGACGAAGCGGCCGTCCCTGCCCGCCCGCCAGCCGCGATCGTCGGAGTCGGCGTTACTAGCACCCCACAGGGTATCTGAAGTAGAAGGGGGTAGGTTGGGCCGGCAGGTGCCGAAAGCCGAGTCGGGAGAAGGCCGAGGAGCCCGGGAGCCGGTGAGGGAGTGTGGCATCGGCTGGCCTCCGGGGCTGTCTCCCTCCGGGAGGAAGGGCCGGCGCCGCGCTCTCCAGCCGCTCGCCCGCTCTCCCCCGCCGCTCGGCTGCCGCCATCTTGGGGCCGGTAGTTGCCGGGTCGCCTTCCCGCCTTTCCCCGCTCGGGCTACTTTGTCGTCTCCGGCTCGCGAAAAGTGTTGGGAAGGCCGGGTGTCCTGTGTGGGCAGGGGGCGGAGTGGGGACGAGCTCTCCGGTAGGGATGAGGGTGGGGGAGCTCGGCGAGCAGGGACGGCGGGGCGGCGGGACGCGCTCCCGGTGGAAATGGCGCCCGGCGCGGCCCGGTCTCCCACAGCGGCCTCCGTCCTCCGTGGCCTCGAAGGGACTACCTGGGCTGGCGGGGCGGCTAGTGACTGCTGACGCAGATTCCCGGGATGAGACAGGTGGAGCCGGGGGGGAAGGCGAAGCCAGTGGCGACGAGGGCGCTCCACTGGCAGATGCAGGACAAAGGCGGACACGGTGGTCCTTTGTAATACCGCCGCTCCGTGGCCGAGGCCTTTTCTCCCGGCCTGACCGACGGCCGGAGGCGGGGCGTCCCCTAGTTCTCTGGTCTCTAGGGCGAGCTAGGTAAACGGAAAGTCTCCGGGAAGAGAGAAAGGACGCTTAGCCGGCCTTTGTAGTCCAGATTTGGAGCTGCGGAAAGAGTACATACACGTCGCCAAAGGATTTTTTTTTCCCCCCACATTAGATGTTTACCAAGACCTTAATTTTGTAAGAGAAGGGGTGACTTAGGATGAAATGGGTGTGTTTCAGATAGGCCGGGTCCGGGTGAACTACGGGACTTCTTTTAGGCCAGGGTGGCTAGTTCAGCACGGTTTTGTGTAGTTAGTTCTCCAAGAGTTGTGTTTTGTGTCGACTTGTAATTAAAGCCGGAAATCAGCTATATTTGTTTTCATTTGATGGCTAGGCATGTTTAAAACAAAGTGTCGAACTGTGATGTTTTGAACTAAAAGAATAGTCTAGCGTGTTTTTGGTCCTTAAATCAGAACTGTGTCGGTGATTTCCATTGAAAATGGGTTAAAAAGGAAAAAGAACATCCCAGACCTGAAAGTTAGCTTGCAGTAGTGCCCACGCCACCTAGAACAGGCATATCCTTAATGGCCTTTGAAAAATCGAAGGACTCAGATCCAATTGAAAAGAACTAAGTGATATGCCCACATTTTCTTGATTGGATTGCATTATAAACAATTTCTGTTGTTGTTTTTTGAGAGAGGCTCTTGATAGTAGTTTGCAGCTGGATATGTACAGGAGGCTGCCCTCTAACTCTGAGTCTCCTGCCTCTGCCTGCAGGATGGTTTTGTTTTGAGATAGAGTCCCTGTAGACTACTGCTGGCCTGGAAATTCGAGGATCTTGGTGTTTCTTCCTCCTAACTGCTGAGATGGCAGCTATAAGACACCACACTGTTTATAACATCCATTAACTTCTGTTTAAAGTGGTGTTCTATGGACTTAAGTGCGTTACTAGTTGTCAGACTACCACAGCTCAATTTAAAAAACACTTTTACCGTTTCAAAAAGATGTATGTACTAACAGTCATTCCATATGCTGACCTGTTCTATTTCAGTCACAGATCGTGTTTATTTTTTATAGATTTTTATGTTCTTGGTATAAAACTGGAATAGTATGCAGTCTTTTGTGACTGAAATTTTTGCTTTCTTTAGGAAGTTGTATTTAAAGTCTCAGAAAGTTGGCTTCATTAGTATCCACTGTAGGTGGACCATAGGCAAGGGGCTGCATCTGTGACGCTCTTGGATTTGGGGGTGGTGTAACTCAGGTTGTTCTCCCTGTCTCAAGGTCTAGAATAGAATTAGGGGCCTGAGAACGCTGGGATCCCTAAAGCAGATAGTAGTTAGTAAAGAAAGGTTCGAGTGGAGTATTCTAAGTGAACAGTTGCACAACCTCTGAAAGCTTTATTAAGGTCTCAGAACAAATTGCCCATAATGTTTTCGTAGGATTCTAGACTTGAGTTTAAAGGTATGCTAGAGCAAGGCTGTTTCCTCACTGTCTTCTGACTTGGAGTGGAATGTCACCCTGGGAGAGAGTTTGGTCCAAATCTTGTTGGCTTTTCTAGTAAAATTTTGTTAATTGAAGTCAAGAACTGATGAATAAAAATTTTCCTATAACCTCCACATTACACTGAAGTATGAGTGTTTCCATATACAAGCACATACACAGACTCAATAAAAGCAGTTATGGTTTTCAGATACAGTTAAGGTTTTGTGGAGCATCACGTTGGTTTTACAACAGTGGTTCTCAGTGGGTTCACTGATACCATTGGAAAATACAGGTGTTTATAATTCATAACAGAAACAAAATTACAGTTATAAAGTAGCAGCAAAAAAAAATTTATAGTTTATGAGAAACTGTCAAAGGGTTGAAGCATTAGAAAAGTTGAGAACCACTGCTTTACAGGGTCCATAAAATCTAATTGTCAAAGGTGAATTTTTAGCTGAAGCAGATCAGAACTACATAATATAAATATTGTTGTGAAACACAGCAGTGGGTGCCAATACCTCACTTGCCTACTGCTGTTTTGGTTTTTTCAAGATAGGGAACTCACAAGAGATCTGCCAGCCTCTGCCTCCTGAATACTGGGATTAAAGGCATACACAACCATCACCACTGCCACCCAGCAGTTAATGCTGTATTTTATAGTGAGTACCAGGCTCAGAAATGCAATGTTTTAAGTAGCCATTGAATGGCAGATTAGCGAGATGAGATGATGCCTTTTTTTTTTTTTTTTGAGATAGTCTCACCATGTGAACTTGGCTGACTTTGAACTCAGAGCCAGGTAATGTCTCCCAGATCCTGGGATCAAAGACACGTGTCACTATGTAGGGCCTTGTGCTTTCTTTTAAATCAAGAGCACTGAAGGATTACTTATAATGTCAGTTTTTAAGCTGTATTTTCGCCGTTTTGGTTCTGTCAAGAGTGTCACCTTCCACAGGCTTTGCTTTAAAGATGGGCCTGGATTTTCTTTCATCGGGGTTGAGGTTCAGTCACTGGTACACACAAAACACAAATGCTGATGATACACACATTAATAACCACTGAAATAGAAGTTAAACATTGTGTTACTTTAATACATGTATTATTGGGAGAAAAGTGTTTGGAATGTAATCCAAGGGTTGGCACATGATAGACATTTACTCTATTATTGAACTATATCCTTGGGTTCATTCCCCCCACCCCGGTTTTTGGTGACAGTTTTTCTGTGTAGCCCTGGCTGTAGATCAGGCTGACCTTGAACTCACATACCCACCACCTCTGCCTCCAAAGTGCTGGGATTAAAGGCATGCTTGTGCCACTATGCCAAGCTCTAAAATAACTTTTTGTTTTGTTTTGTTTTTTTCCCTTCAAGACAGGGTCTCACAATGTAGCCCTGGCTGTCCTGAAACTCACTGTGTAGACCAAGCTGAGTTCAAATTCACAGAGATCTGCCTACCTTTTCCACCACCCTATTCCATTACCCCCCCCCCCAACTCACTCCTTCCTTCCTTCAAAGGTAGTGTCTGGCCTTGAACTCCTGAACTCTTGCCTCAACCTCCCAGGGCTAGGGTTATAGGAGTAAGTGTGCACATGTGTGATTTTTTTTTAAGAAAATTAGAATTATTAACTCCGTAGATGCTGCCTCTAACAGGTGATATGGAATTAACCATTAGTGAATGATGTTGATATACCGTCAAGCCTAAAGGAATCAAGTGAAAAAAAATTGTTTTGTTGACGGGAGGAGGTGGTGAGGGAAAGATTGGAATATTCAGGTGAGTAGGATTCCCAGAGCTGTGTAGTGAAATAAGCAAGGACTGGTAAGTTTTTCCACAGCTGCAGAACTTCTGCATTAGTCTCTAAAAATATTCTGGAATTTTAAAAGGAAAGTGGTTGCCTCTAGGGAAGGGATGTAGCTAGGTTTCTCTGTGTGTGTGTGTGTGTGTTGGGGGATGGAGGGGGCTTCATGCTGTGCTTAAGTGCCATGTGAGTGTCATTGTGTTAAATCTGCTTGACTAAAAAAAGTTAAGAGGCTGAGCATAACGTGGAGTGGTGACACTTCCCTTTAGTTCCAGCACACGAGCTGAGAGGCAGGCAGGCATCTGTGATTCAAAACCAGGCTGGTTCTTGGTCACCCTGTCTTAACCACCCCCCACCCCAAAAAAAAAGATGTTACTGTTGAAAGGTAATCATCTGGGTGTTTGTTGAAGCAGTTTCCTTGTAGTCCCAGCTGGTCTCAAACTCAAAATCCTTTTGCCTTAGCTCCCAAGTACTGAGATCTTGGCCATGTACCATCTATCATATTCCACATAGCATTTGGGTTTCAGTAGCGTTCTACTTGTTTTCTTTTGTTTTGAGACAGGGTCTTGTGTTGTCCTCCAATTGCTGGTGTAGTCAACGATGACCTTGAGGTTCACCTAGCTACTTTTGTTTTTAATGCTCAAACCTCAATATGAATGGATAACTATATTATATACACCTTTCATGTGATTATTCTTAAACATTTTTGCAATTGGGCTGGTGACTCAGGTAATCTTAGCACTTAGTACTATTGGTACACTAACACCCTGTCTGCAAAACAAAACAAAACAATCCGGTAGCTTTGGGTCAATATTAAAGTCTGAAAAGTAAAGTAAAAAAAAAAAAAAAAAGTGTGTTACAACAAATCTTACTCTGGTGGTATAATTCCTCAAGCTTTTATTAGACATTCAGGATTGTTTGATAAGAGAAGGGTGAGTTTTGTTACCTTTCCCTGCCCCACCCCAAAGTAGAGTTTTTATAATAGAGTACTATGTTGCTGATTGTTGTAGAATTGCATGCATGCATTCCGCACTGTGGCACTTGAGGTGTTCAAATCTTGGTAAGAGTGTGTTGTGATTGACTGCTTTATGTGCTTGTTTATTTTCATAGCATTTAAATCAAGCGATATTGAAATGGATTGGGTTATGAAACATAATGGTCCAAATGACGCTAGTGATGGGACAGTGCGACTTCGAGGACTGCCATTTGGTTGCAGCAAAGAGGAAATAGTTCAGTTCTTTCAAGGTACCTCTAGTACTAGTCAAAGTTTAGTAGTATTTTAACTGTATGTGTTTTTTATTAGATGGTTTTTAATTTATAAAACCCATTTGATTTTGGAACTAAATTTTGTGGTAATCTGGGTTATATAGTAAAATGGGAACTGTGCTCCACTTAATATTCCATAGAGAATGTATAGGCTATGTAAACGTTGATTAATGTACAGTATAGTTAACTGAGAGTAACTGTGGTGACATGGGCTATGAGTTATCATTGGGAGCACAGTTAAATATGTAGTTTTTCATGTAGTGGGCTTTTAGAAGTATAATTTTAAGACGCTGGTCACAGAAAATATTTAATCCAATGATATTTGAAAAATATTCCATTTGTATTATGGGGTGATGGGAAACTACGCGTTTTGTTTTGTTTTGACTTGTTTTAAATATTTGATTCAGATGGGAATGTTTCAGCCTTTAACACTGTTCCCCTTGATGGGGTATTTGTCCTTGGGTTAAAGGGTTGGAAATCGTGCCAAATGGGATAACATTGACGATGGACTACCAGGGGAGAAGCACAGGGGAGGCCTTCGTGCAGTTTGCTTCAAAGGAGATAGCAGAAAATGCTCTGGGGAAACACAAGGAAAGAATAGGGCACAGGTGGGGATGGAGAGTTTGGGATGGTGTTAAATTTTTATTTTTGGGGGTTGTGGGTCACTATTGCTTAAATGGGGGGGTAACCATAACATTTTTATGGGGGTAGTTTTAAAGAATTGATAATTACCTAAATTTAACATGGAAACTACAGATTTGGGTGGGGAATTAATGCTAATAGTTTAAATTAAAATTAGATTATCTGTTTCCATTTCTTTGTAGGGTGTTGTTAAATTTGTTTTTGTATTATCACCTGTTTTTCTTACATATCTATCTTGTACTAAAGGAAACAAACTAAAAATATATTCATAATTCAGTGTTTTCAAATGACTCATTTGTCTATGTGAAACTTAAATATTTAATTATTTAAGTTTGTAGGTGTAAAAATGTTACCTTATGGCTTATTTAGGCAATTTAAATTGGGTTATGTACCTAGATATAGACATAAAACTGCATTTTACCCAGTATCTAATTTACTCTCTCATATATCCATGCTGAAACATGTACTTTAACCCTTTTAAAATAGGTACATTGAGATCTTCAGGAGTAGCAGGAGTGAAATCAAAGGATTTTATGATCCACCAAGAAGATTGCTGGGACAGCGGCCGGGACCATATGATAGACCAATAGGAGGAAGAGGGGGTTATTATGGAGCTGGGCGTGGAAGTATGTATGACAGAATGCGACGAGGAGGTGATGGATATGATGGTGGTATGTGTATCTAATGGACAAAGGTTCTGTTGTCATTTTCTTGATGTTCCTGACACTTTGTCAAGAAATACAGAAATGGCAGTAATTTCAGTACCTATGAGGTTTTAAAACCTGTTCATGAAATTATGGGATTTACGCTGCGGAACTTGATTGATGCACATATTAACACCTAGAAAATGTAATGTAGAAAGGAGAGGAAAGATAACTGGCATGTTTCTTCTTGGCATAAAGATGAAATTTGGTTTTCATGTTATGTTTGAATTTATCCTGTGGTTATGTACATTTCCATCAAGGGTTAACTACTTTTCTCATGTGCAGTAAGCTGCAAACATCAATGAAGAAGCTAAAACTGTTGACTACAAAATGACTTTGTAAATTAGCTTAGAAAATAAATTACTCAGGATGGTATTTCTTTTCCTTTTATTTGCACAGGCTATGGAGGTTTTGATGACTATGGTGGCTATAATAATTACGGCTATGGAAATGATGGCTTTGATGACAGGATGAGAGATGGAAGAGGTAAACTAAGAATATTGTCATGCTGAAGTAAATTGTATTGTTTCCTTAGTAAGCTTCCAGTAGTAATTAGGCAACTTTGATAATGGAAACTTGTGTCATTGCACTGGCTTGTTGATTTCTATGTATTTACTTACCTGAACCCACCATGGTTTATAATCTAGGCATGGGAGGACATGGCTACGGTGGAGCTGGTGATGCCAGTTCAGGTTTCCATGGTGGTCATTTTGTGCACATGAGAGGGCTGCCTTTTCGTGCAACCGAAAATGATATTGCTAATGTAAGTGTGGTTCATAGAGGGTATTTTTTATTTATTATTCTTGGTGGGGAGGTCTCATTGAAGCCCAAACTGGATTAGAATTTAGAAATCCTAACTTAGCTGTGAGCATGTTGGAATTACAGGCAGCCACCATGCCTTATTTATTTTATTTGTTAAGATTCAAGCTGAGGGCGGGAATGAATAAAATATTTTTAAAAAAAGATTCAAGCTAGGATTGTCACTTAGTGATAGATTACTTAATATGTACATAGGTGTTTGTGTCCCTTATATACTGACCTATGTGAGATTTTAAGCAGGTTTTAAAATGCATTAAAAAAAAAACTCAGTTAAGAATAGTCAGTCAATTAGATAGGAATTCGCCTTTAGTAATAGGGTCAGGGTCTGGAACAACCCCAAATGTCAAGATACTCCTAACCTTGCACATGGAGCCAGTTTCAAATCTTTTGTTTAAAATTTAGTATTGCCTTACTTTAAAAGCTCCCTGAGTTCGAGGCCAGCCTGTTCTATAAGAGCCAGTTCCAGAACAGTCACCAAAGCTACACAGAGAAACCCTGTCTTGAAGAAAAAAAATAAAAAATAAAACATAGTCCTTCTCTTTGTGAGCCAAATTGACCACCTCTGTAGTAAAGGATGACAGCCTACCTTCACAGTGCTGGAGCCCTATAGACTCTCAACAGTTTATTTTAGTGGATTAGGGAAAAATTTACATGCCTAATTTTAAATAATTGAAATTTAAAATTGAATAACTTTTATTTAGTTCTTCTCACCACTCAATCCAATACGAGTTCATATCGACATTGGAGCTGATGGCAGAGCAACAGGAGAGGCAGATGTAGAGTTTGTGACACATGAAGATGCCGTGGCTGCCATGTCTAAAGATAAAAACAACATGCGTAAGTGGTGTCTTTGGCACGCTTCTGTTTTATAGATGTGTGGGGTTTATAAAATAATTACCTGTGATAGATCTTAGGGCTTAAAATCTAGACTTTAATGGATGCCTGAAATAGTCCTTTAAGTGTGGATCAGCCAGCCTGCTTTTTAAATACTAATTGACCTTTAATTAATATTTGCTCCAATATTCCTTTCTCTACTCTTCTTACCTTTTTCCACTCCTCTTTTTTAAAGAACATCGATATATTGAACTCTTCTTGAATTCCACCCCTGGAGGAGGTTCTGGAATGGGAGGTTCTGGAATGGGAGGCTATGGCAGAGATGGAATGGGTATGTATACTTTTGTATTCGAGACGGGTTCATCCTGCTCTGTAGCCCAGGCTGGCCCGAAACTCACAATCCTCCTGTCTTGGTGCTTTGGCATATCCTTCCCAAACCTGTGTTTATAAACTTTTTAGAATAAGCAGTGTTGGCTACTTTGGAAACCATCCTCTTTTTTTTTTTTTTTTTAATGTGCAGATAATCAAGGAGGATACGGATCTGTTGGGAGAATGGGAATGGGAAACAACTACAGTGGAGGATATGGCACTCCTGATGGCTTGGGAGGTTATGGTAAGTCAGGTTTTGTATTGGCAATGTCTTTGACTTAAAATATAAATATGTGATGTGCATGGACATCTCCTGACGGATGGTTCTTAATGTCTTCTTAAGGTCGTGGTGGTGGAGGCAGTGGAGGTTACTATGGGCAAGGTGGAATGAGTGGAGGTGGATGGCGTGGGATGTACTGAAAACACCACCACCAATGTGCAAGTCCTAACAACATCTGTCTACTAGACTTTCTTACGGATTTAATTTCTTTTGTATTTCAAGAACTTTATAATGACTGAAGGAATGTGTTTTCAAGATATTATTTGGTAAAGCAACAGATTGTGATGGGAAAATCTGTTTTCTGTAGGTTTTATTTGTTGCATACTTTGACTTAATAAATTTTTATATTGAAACCACTGATGTTGCTACTTTTTATATATAGGTACTCTTAAAGATGTGTTGCCTTCATAAGATTTGGGATGATGTATTTTACTGTTAGCTCTACAAAGAGTAGCATAGTACAATGTGAGTGGACAAGACTGCAAGTCTTCGCACACATCTGGGATGGGCAGGGCTTGAGTAGTTAGCTGGCTTTCTTTCCTGGACCTAACGATGCATTCAGGTGGCTTCAGGAATAGAAGCTCAGTTAATTCTGCATTCTCTTTTCAATCTCATTTATCAAGCATAGCTCTGAATAATTTTGTAAGAGAGGTATCTGGATTCTAAATAGTCACAATTGTGTTATGAATTATGAGCCCAGGGACATGGGAGTAGTAGTTGAAATTGTAGCCCTAGATTTTAAAATCCTCATAGCACTTGCCCAAGATACCAAAAATGTTCCCAAAATTTGAGTTTGTTGGAATAGCTAAGAATTCTCATTGATGACAGAACTCGGTGTAAATACACGGGTATTTACTATGATAGATGTATTCTTGCGTTTTCAGTTTCTCATCCAAAAAAACAGGGTTTTTAAATTGTGTAAATGACTGCATTTAGGAAAATGTAAAACAATGCTACAGCTGGATTTTGCATCTGATACTGGTTTTGAATATTTAAGCTCTGTTTAGCAAGGGAAGGGTGCTTTCTAATCTTGTCACTTTGATCAATGTGGCTTTCCCCCAAATTGGCTAATGGATCGGATTGAAACCTGTCAATGTGAACTCAGTTATTGAACTTGTTACTTGGTTTTTTTTTTGCTAGAAATGTTATTTTCATTTAATAAATGTCAACATGGGAGATAAAGGAATGTTGTCTGTTCTAGAATGCTTTGTGTCAGTTATTGGTTATAATGCACATTGGTAGAAAGTGTGGTGGCACATGCTTTTATCCCAGCACTCGGCAGGTAGAGGCAAGTATCTGGCTGGCATGTAATTTGGATGCTAAATTGAGATTTCTGATAAAGTGACTGTAAAGGAGCATCCCAGCTTGTTACTCAGAACCTATAGTCCTGAAACAGTGAGTTTCTGTCTTTCTGGTTTGGGACTGAGGATTTCACCTAGAGCCTACACACTAATGACCTTGTCTGCATGCCTGGCAGAGAGGTCAGAAGCCCTTCAAGGGTTACCTTTTTCAGTCTCAAAGGAGGTGGCCGGAGAGATGATTCGGTGGTTAAGATCCTCTGGTTCTGCTCACCCAGAGGACCTGAGTTTGGTTCCCAGCACCCACATCAGGCAGATCACAACTCACTGTAGCTCCAGTGAATCCAATGCCTTTTTCTGGCCTCCTCCACCACCTCTACACATGTGGCACACACTCATGCAGACACACATAAACAGATACAAACAAATCTTTAAAGCAATAAAAGTAATTGTGAATTTCTCAAAACTTTGTTTTATAAAATTCACATTTATTTTAAAAACATTACAGATTAGAATTACAATTCCTTGGCACCATGATTGCATCTTTGTGGTAGTACTGGCTAGGGTAAGCAAGGAAATGACAAGTTTTGCAAAATAAAAACTGAATGTTTTGTGCTGAATGGGGTATCCTAAATTTAAATTTTTTTGTTGTTGTTAGTAGTGCTGTGGATTGAGAACCCAGGACTTTAATACACACAGTAAGCGAACATTTTGCCACTGAGCTATATATTCTCATCCCAGACATTGGGGATCAAGTTAATGCTGCCCCAGAAAAGGTCCATGTTTATAACAAAAAGCACAGAATAAAGTATTTGAAATTTTTTCATTTATGCTCATTTTCAACAGTCATAAAAATCTTAGTCTATTTCCATCAATACAAAATGGTTCAGACGCTGGGCAGTGAAAGCGCACACCTTTAATCCCAGCACTCGAGAGCCAGAGACAGGTTGATCTCTTGAGTTCAGGACCAGCCTGGTCTACAAAGCAAGTTCCAGGACAGGCTCCAAAGCTACAGAGAAACCCTGTCTCAAAATACAAACTCCCCAAAAACAAAGGTTCAAAAATATAATTCTTTTATTTTTCTAATATTTGAGCCAGGTTTTCACTGTTGTGTATATAATAACATAGGCTAATCTGGAGTTATAGGGATGAACCAGACTGGCCTTGAACTTGTAGCATTCTTTCTTGCCTTACCATCTTAATTCTGTTTCAAGGCCACTTCTGTCAGTACTCAACAAATGACATCTTGGGGGCTGGGTAGATCAGGGGTTCCATCCTCAGCACCACATAGTTGTAATCTCAGGAGCTGGGATATGTGGAGGTCAGAGAATCAGTTCAAGGTCATTCTCTGCTACACACCAAGTTAGAAGCCAACTTGGATTACATGAATCCTGTTTCCAAAAAATGGGACATCTCAAAATGTGACAGATCTAATTTAAGTTAACCTCAGAAGCTGGTGAAAATACTGGTTTTGTAATTTTGGCAATTTATAAAATTTACTGAAATACAACAAATGAAAAGATCTCAAAGAATAAGGAATCAGAAAAGTGCCCAGTCACTAAACTGTCTTTAGGAATGCAAAATCTCTATAGAGTTTATAGACTTAAAAGTGCAAAGCTGGAAATCAATATATTAAGATCCTGAATGGTTATGGTTTAAGTAACTTAATGTTTTGTTTGTCTGCTTGAAAAAATAAGAAACCACTATCTGCCTAAGACCATAGCATAAAGGTACTTGATATATCGGGTGAAATTCTACTGTGGGTAGATGTAAACACTGCAATATAATGTTTCCTAAGAGAACTGGAGGATGGGAAAACTAATTCTGTTATAGCACAGGTAAGTTTTAAATGCTCTTATATTTAATTCTTAAGCCTGTGTTTTCCCATCTTCCCTCAGGAAGGATGTTTTCATCTTTAGGGTCCAACCCTTTACAAAAAGTAGTTTCTGTGACAAGGTTATATTTATGATGGTTATATTTAACATCCCTTAAAGAATTGAAGGAAAAGCTGGTACTTCAATCCACTATATGAAAGGTGTAGGCAAGCGAAAAGAAAGGTATGAGATAAAATTACTGACCATTGTAGAAGAGGGGGAAAGAACACGCAAATAAATACAATTAAATTAGAATCTTACCAGACAATGAAGACTGTACAGCTTGGTATGGAGGCACACACCTATGATCCCAGCACTTCAAAGCTGAGGCAAGGAAGTCCATGGTCAAAAATGGACAACTTTGTTTCAATCTTATTTCAGAAAAGGATGTTCAATTGGCATACTATCACAAAGTGAGTGCATTTCCAGTCTTCCTCTGAGAATTGTGAAGCGTTAAAGTGCATTAAAAAGAATTATAGGCACCATCAAGTGCCAGCTTGACAGTTCAGAAACAAGTTGTGGCCTCGTTCTCAAGGCCTCTAGAAGATAAGGCAAAAGTGCATCTTTAGCTCTGCTGTCCGGCCTTTCCTTAAGGGTCACATGACTGTTCCAAATAGTGATAAAACATGCTATCTTAAACCGAGTAAGTACAGAAACGGAATCCTAACTATACAACTTAGAATTCTGTGTGTTAGCTGGAGGAGAGGTATGGTGCTGACTGGACACTTGGTCCTCACACTCACTGCAGGTGCTTCTGTGCAGGACTGAGTTCCCGGGTCACGGCACGTTAGAGGAGCATCTCTGAATGAGTATTGCATGGCAGGAATCACAAACTCGCACTGGCTTTGGTGAAGAAGGCAAAGGCAGCTCGTTGTCAGAGCAGGCATTGCAAAAAATTTCCCCACAGTTTCTACAGTGGTGCTATTAAATGGAGAAATTAGGAAGAAGGGGAAAAAAGCAGTTAGAAGCCATTTTTGTTGCCAAAATGTTTGGGCTCACTTTCTTGCCTCTTACCTTTCTTTTGGAGAGTGAAAATTCCTTCTCACAAAGCTTGCAGTGTGTTGCCTCTTTGTCTTTCAGCCAGACCAGTCCCTAACAGGTAAAGATGAATGTTAGTGTTCTAATGAGCAACACTTGCACTTAGCTTAAAGCACGAAAGCTGAAAATGCAGAATTCCTATGACTCATCATTTTTCAGAACAGGAACCTAAAAAAGAATGCACCAGGCCCAGGCAGTAGCTCTCAGAGAGGTCAGAGGAACTTAGAAATATCAGTAAAGAAGGGTCCAGGTCAGATGTGGGCGGGGGGTCAGACTTCCAAGACAAAGTAATGAGCCACCTAACTGCTTCAGGGAACATTTGATAGAGGTGAAGAATGAGAATATTCTGGTATTGAGATAAAACATCGGAAAATAAGTGGCAGGCAGTTGATACCAGGAGAAATAAGAAGGGTGTGATGAACTGGGTGGTGGTGGCGCTTGTCTTTAATCCCATTATTCGGGAGACAGAGACAGGCAGACCTGAGTTTGAGGCCAGCCGGTCTACAGAATGAGTTCCAGAACAGGCTCCAAAAGCTTTAGAGAAACCCTGTCTCAATCAATCAATAAATCAAGCTGAGATATATGCTTATGACCTTTTAATCCCAGTGCTCAAGAGGCAGGAGGAGCACTGTTTGAGACCAGTCAGGGTTAAAGTGAGATCCTGTCTAGGAAAAAAAGCTTACTGAGGAGACTTACTGAGGAAAGATGAGTTTGAGTGAGCAAACAGCTACCACTACATCAATAGCAAGGTGAGAAAACATGCTACAGAATGGCTCAGTAGTACAGTGTTTGTCTAGCGTGTGCTAGGCCCTTTCAGTTCCTTTCCCCATACTACGAAAGCGGGGAAGCGGAATGAATTGCATTAGAGCTAGATGCCAGAGGAAATAGCTGCGAGAACTGGAAGCAGCTCCCTTTGGGAGCAGGAGCTAGTAACGAAGGTGGGTTAAAGGCAAGAGCAAACATTTTTTACTTGAAATCTTTTTTAGAATGGTGCCTGGGGCAAAGTGCTGCTGTTCTTCCAGGGGCCCCAGGTTCAATTCCTAGCGTGTGCATGACTCACAATCTTCTGTAACCCCAGTTCCAAGACATCTAACATCTTCTAATCTTTTTTTTTTTTTTTTTTAACTGGTTCAGGGTTCTGGCTGGCATTAACATCAATTACATAACATAACCTAGGCTCCAGGACTTTTTGAATAGCTATTTTCATGTAACATTTTGATTAAAAGATTAAGTGGGTAATTTGGAACAGAAAGCTATTACTCAATGACACTGAAGTGCTGACCCGAAGATTCTTTCCAACACACCCAAAGTAACACACTTTTTATCTAGCCTTATCAAAGTGATACAAATGATACTTGATACATCAGAAGCCTATTCTAGAAGGCTAAATTGAGGGTCATCAAGGATATGTTATCTACTAAAGTAGCATTACAATGTCATTTTTCATCAGGAGCATGCATCCTTTAACAGGTAATAAGTAATCCATTTCCACCTTTTAAAACATTTCACTAAGTATGGAGATGGTAGTCTCCAGCTCATTGCCCAGGAGGCAGAAGCAGGCAGATTTGAGTTCAAGGCCAGCCTAGTCTACAGAGGGCTGTTACACAGAGAAACCTTACCTAGAAAAGAAAAAAACAATGGAGACTAGAATAGCAAGCACACCTACATTCCCTTCCAGTGCTGCCACCTCTGTCCGTGGGATTTGTACACTTCTTTCTCAAGGCCTCCCCCACATACCAGGCTCCGAACAATTTAGGTTTACGAATGTTAAGAGCTTCCAGCTGTACTGAAAGCCTTTTTACTTACCTGTAATGCTTTGTTGGCTTCTTTTATGTCGTCTATTTTAAGTTTGGATCTAAAAACATTACAAACAAGTCCAAATTTTAGTATGCATGTAAATACAAAACACTTAATAGTTCATTGCAAAGGTATTGATTTTTTTAATTGCATATAACTTTAGATCTAACAATCTCTGACTAAAGGGATATTATGTGTTTTTCTTTTTTTTCCAAGACAGGGTTTCTGGGTAGCCGTGGCTGGCCTCAAACTCAGAGATCCGCCTGCCTCTGCCTCCCAAGTGCTGGGATTAAAGGCCTGTGCCACGATTGCCCGGCTACAACTAGATTTTTTAAAAGCTTGACTAGGTAAGAGAAAGTGTCTCTGGATGTGCATGCACAAAGCCCTCGGTTAGATCCCAGTGCCATATAAACTAGCTCTTTAGAAGTTACACAGCAGAAGCTTAAGGTCATGTTTTGGCTACATGAGTTCTAGGACAGCCTGGGATACTTGAAACCTTGTCTCAAAAAATAAACACTTGCATAAATGTATTTGTTTTGAAACAGGACTTAAATTTGGTAGTCCGGGCTGGCCCAATTTTGTGGCAATCCTGTCTCAGCTTCCTTTTTTGCCTTTTGATTCATGTAGCAGACTGGTCTACATTCTGGATTACAGAGAAGAGCTACTATACTGACTAAGTAAGCACTTTCGAGGGAATATCATCTGCATAGTTCTCCATAATCTGGTCCCTCAGTACTGGATCCCGAAGTTGTTATTAAATATCTGCCACATCACACTAAATGGTTACATGGTATGCAATTTTTACCTGCTGTTTAACTTTAAACATGTTTTAATTTTCTCACCAGAGAAACTGTTTATTACATTTGAAGTGGCTGGCCATAGTGGCGTACAATCCAGCTATTTGGGAGACCAAATCACTTTAATCCAGGAATTCAACACTAGCCTAGACAATAAAGCAGTAGTCTTTCTCAGAATAAGAAAGGGAAAGGGGACCACAATCCTAAAATAAAAGTTGAAATGATGGTATTCTCAGATATCCCCCTCTTCCATTTATCTTTTTTTAAAAAAATTATGTATGTGAAATGTTGCTTGCATGTATGTTTGTGTACCATGTGCATGCCTGATGACCAAAGGTCAGAAACAGGCTTCAGATCCCCACTAACTGGAGTTAGAGATGGTTGTGAGCCACTGTGTGGTTGCTGAGAACTTAACCTGGGTCCTCTGCAAGAGCAGCAACTATGATAAACCACTGAGCCAACTCTCCAGCCCCTATTCCCCTATTTCTTTGTTTTTTTTAAAGGCATGATCTCAAAGCTTGCCCTTTCTATGTAGCTGAGGATGACCTTGAATTCCTGATCTTCCTGCTTCTACCTCCCAAATGCTGAGATTACAGCCACTTTCCTGGCTTCCTGTAGAATCTCAATATTTTACTACAGGATCACATTGAGTCATCATAAGATTTGACTCCTGAAGGCATGAAAAACTACCTATAAATCACAAAACTGGCTCTGTCCCAAAATAGTCTGATAGCTCTGGACATTGTTAAAATTCAGTTTATGTTCTGACAAAATTAAGCTTCTGGGTTCTTTATCACTGAAAAAATTAAACAATAGTTTTGGCCTTCATCTGATGAAACCCTTCAAAACCAAGGTCTGCTAAAATGCATAGAACTACTAGATCTCTCTAAAGAAGCTAGTCTTTGGTGTCCCGGTACTCAAGCCCCTCTGCAGAGCTGATTTGGTACACCCATCTGTAGGTCCACGAATCTGTAGGTGTGTAGCTGAAGGAAGAGAGGAATTACTCGCAAAGTTTGCTGCCAAGTTCTTGCAGAGCCTGTTCTTGTTCATGATATACTTTTTTCAACTGCTGATTTTCATCCTGGAGGTTAAGAAACTCCTTCAATAAAAAACAGAAATATAACTTTAGAAAAACCAAGAAACTCTACATTGCATGCATACCATTAATTAAGTATAAATGTCTTTGAGCTTTGTTCTGAGGCATGACCTTGTCCTGACCCCACTCCCATTTACCAAGTGTTGGGATTACAAGAATTCCTAGCTTTGATGAGGAATTCTCAGGTACTACCCTCCACTCCCCAATTTCTCTCTTTTTAAAAAAGATTTGTGTGCGAATGTTTTGCCTGCATGTATGTATGTGTTCCATGTGCACGCCTGCTACCCGAGGTCGGAAGAGGGCATCAGATCCCCTGTAACTGGAGTTTAGAGATGGTTGTGAGCCACCATGTGAATACTGGGATTGCAGCTCAAACTGGCCTGGGAGGCATCAACCTCCCGATTCTCCTGCTTCAGTCCACTCAGTGCACACTACACCCAGCAAAAACAGAGCGTATCTGAAGCCTTTTCCTAGCTGTTCTGTGTATTATTACCCACACAACCTCCTTTCATGTTCCTAAAATGACTAAGTATATCCTGTTTCCTCATATACATGTAAATTGTGTAAAGTATCTCGTTTTAGAAGATGTGTTTGTATGCAGGTGCATGTGGAGGTTGGAAGACAGCCCTGGTTGTTGTACTTAGACTGCCTACCATGTCCTTTGAGTCAGGGTCTTTTATTGACCTGGAGCTCATGAATTAGGCTAGACTGGCCCATCAGTGTGAGTCCCAGGAACGCCCCAGAACTGAGACTACAAGTCCTGCAAGCACTTTACTGACAGCCATCCTCTCAGAAGCTCATAGGCAAGACAGAATGGCCATGAGTTCAAGGCCAGCTTTTGCTACAGAACAGAGTTCACAGATAGTCTGGGCTATATAGATAGATAGCATAGCATGAAACCCCATCAATGTTTGTCCTTTTTTCTTTTTTCCTTTTTCTTGGTTTTTCAAGATAGGATTTCTCATGATAACAGCCCTAGCTGGCAAGGAACTAGCTCTGTAGACCAGTATAGCCAATTTTTTCTTCTTTTTTTCTGTTTTTCTCCCAAGAGGGGTTTCTCTGTGTAGCTTTGGAGCCTGGCCTGGAACTTGCTCATTAGACCAGGCTGGCCTCGAACTCACAGAGCTCCACCTGCCTCTGCCTCACTAGTGCTGGGATTAAAGGTGAGCGCCACCACCCGGCTGATATAAAAGTTTTACCACTATTTACTTTTTTAAGACTAATGATTTGTTGGGTCTCATTTCTAAGATGAGATAGGACATCTTTCTCCTTTTGAAGATCTTCTTGCAAAGTCTGCCTCCATTCCTTCTCAATCTTCAAATCCGTTTCCAGCTGCACCCTTGAATGGCAAACAGAAAGAAGCCCAGTGTTGAGTTGGGTCAATTTTGAGGTAGGGTCTCATGTAGCCAAGTCTAGCTTTTAATCCGAATGCTCCTGCTTCTATCTCCTAAGTGCCAGGGTTATAAGTTGTTCTCCCAAACCTGACTCTCTTATTTTTATTGATCTCTTTAAAGGTTTATTTTTGAATTACAGGTGTTGTGAGCCACCTGGTGTGGCTGCTGAAGATCCTCTGCAAGAGGGTCACAATGCTCTCTCCAAATTCTTTTTTATTTATTTTTTTTATATTTATTTTTACTTTACTTATATATTTGTTTTTTGAGACAGGGTAGCCACAAAACTGCTATGTAGCCAAAAATGTCCTTTAATTTCTGATCCTTCTGCCTTCACCTATATAACCAATGTGGGCTGTGTAGCAAGACCTTGTTTCAAAAAAAAGTTTTCAGATAGTCTGTCAGGTTCTATTTTAAAAATAAAATTATGGGGCTGGAGACATAGCTCAGCTTTTAAAAGCACTTGTTGTTCTTCCAGAGGACCCAGGTTCAACTCCCAGCACATGGCAACTCACAACTGTCTGTAACTCAAAGATCTGACACCCTCACACAGACATACATGCAGGCAAAACACCGGTGCACATAAGATAAAAATAAATAAATTATTAAATAAAATTAGGCCAGGCATGGTGGCACATACCTTTCACTCCAACATTCGGGAGGCAGAGGCAATCACATCTGAGTTAAGGAGAGTAAGAGCTATATTTTTTGAGACCCTGTCTTAGTGGGTAAAGTCTTTTGCTGCCAAGCCTGACAACTTGACTTTGATCCCACAGCCCCACATGGTGAGAAGAAAACCAACTCCCACAAGTTGGCCTCTGACCTCCACCTACATAGCCTGGTACATGCATACTAACTGAATAAATAAGTAAATTTAATTTTAAATTTCAATAAAATTAAAACCATATATTGCCCATATATTTATATGTACAAAGAAAAGTCTTGTTTTGTCCATATTTTGTGGTGCTGGGGATTGAACATAGGGCTTTATGCAAACTAAGCAGCATATATTCTGCCAATGAGTTATACTGAAGCCTAGAACAGTTTAACAGTTATACTAGAACATTTTAAAGCCACTTGGAAGAGTTTCAGCCCTTCCTCTACAAGCATCACTAATGTTCCTCCCCAGGAACCATGGGCTAGTTTTGTTATTAAAAGAAAGTGTGCTGGAGAGATGCTCAGCAGTTAAGAGACACACAACAATGTAATTAAAAATGAAAAAAAAATCTTAGAAAATAGGAGCTGAGGATGTTGCTCAGTGGAGAGAGTACTTGTGTGGCATAAACAAACCCTAGGTTTTGATCCCCAGCATCACATAAGCCAGGTATAGTGACCACCTATAATCCCAGTGTCCAGAGGAGAAAGCAGGAAGAAGAAACGGTCAAAGTCACTCTTGCTTATATAAGAAATTATGTACGCCAGCGTAGTAGCATTTCATTTGTATTTTAATAAATAAAGCTTGCCTGAATGAAGATCAGAAAAGTAAAACAGCCACGCTGGCTAGTATTACAGACCAAGCATCAGTGACACACACTTTTAATCCCAGTAGCCACACTAGTTTGCTATAGAAACCAGGCAGTGGTGGTGCACACCCTTAATCCCAGAACTAGAGAGGATTATAAAACGGGAGGAGACAGCTCTTAGTCTCAGTCTCATTCTGAGATTCCTGGAGGTAGGATCGCCATTTCAAACTGAGGTAGACGTGTAAGAGCCAGTGGCTGACTGATTTGCTATTCTGACCTTCAGGTTGAACCCCAATTTCTGTCTCTGAGTTTTTTATTAATTGTGATACAGGCCAGTCTTGTGTACATGAGACATGATCTCCAAAAGTAAATAGATAAAATAATAGGAGGAGTAACAATTATATTTTCAGTATGTGTTATGTGTGGTTTTGGAGCTTGAACCCAGGGCCTCAACAACGCTAGCACAGTACTCTCCCACTGAACTACATCCCTATCCCAACTCTTTTCTTTTTCTAAAAATACTTAATCATTATTTGATGCGGGAGAAGTGTCTGTATTCTGTCAATCATATTTTAATAAAACGCTGATTGGCCAGGCAGGCAGTATAGGCGGGAAAGCCAGACAGGAAGTAGGGGTGGAGCAAAGAGACTGGGAGTATTCTGGAAGCAGAGCTCCCTCGCCATTCCTGTACAGACCACCGAAGAGGCAACATGTAAGCTGTCACACCGAGAAAGGTACCGAGCCCATGTGGCTAACATAGATAAGGATAATGGGGTAATATATGTTATAAGAGTTAACAAGAAGCCTGACCCAATGGGCCAATCAGTTTATAACCTTATGGAATCTTATGAATGATTTTCGTTGGGAGTTGCCAGTTGTGGGGTACCGGGTGGGACAGAAACCCCAACAAGCCGGCCCTCATGTTACATATGGCGCCCAGACGTGGATAACTGAATCCACAGAAAGCCTGAGAAAGCTTGAGAAAGAATAGAGTAAAGCATGGCTTCTTGGTGGCAGCAATTTCTCGGGTCTGCTCTGCTTGCTAGAGGCAAGCAAGCGCTCTCATCTAAGAGAGGCTTCCTGACTCAGCTTTAGCTGCAAAACCTTGCAGCTCTTTTAAGAGGTCCTGCCACGAAAAACTTAAACGGTGTTGATGTAAAGCTCAATGCATGCTTTTCGGTTTTCAGCCATACCAGGAGAAAAGCTGCGCTGTTTTAAAATGCTGACTTTCTGGGCTGTCCTGCCAGGGCAAACTCTGACTCTTTCAGGCAGGCAGTCCGACTGAGTGTGGTCTGTGAGCAGAATGCTGCAGCTTGCTTGCTGGCAAGGACCTTAAAACACCATAGAGTTGTGGCAATAAAAGGCTTCAGTGGTACCTCAGCCACAAGGCTGGAAAGCTAAAAAATGAGCTGGATCTAGCCGTCAAAGCCACGGCTTTAAAGGAGAGGACTAATCTTCTCCTTAAAGACTCATGTAGTCAAAAAAGAGAGAGAGATACAGTAAAGAGAGGTTCAAAGACGAAGAAAACCTCTAAATGGTTTACAGTGTGTTAAAAATATATGCAGGATAAAAGTTAAAGTTCTTAAAGTAAAAAGAAAGAAAGAGAGTAGTTAGGTGTGGTAGAACACACCTTAATCCCAATGCCTGGGAAGCAGAGGTACGAGGATCTCTGTGAGTTCAAGGTGTGGTAGCAAACACCTTTGAGCCCAGCACTGGGGAGGCAGAGACAGGAGGATCTCTGTGAGTTCAAAGACAGCCTGGTCTACAGTGTTATTCCAGGACAAAGATATACAAAGATCCTGTCTCAAAAAGTAAAAGTAAAAATAAAAGAAATAGAGGTTAAAATAAAGCCACATAAAGATGGAAAATGCACAGAGAATCTTCATACTGTATGCTATTATGCTCTCTTTAAATTGTTTGATTGCTGAGGAAGGAGCAACAACTGATAAAAGACTTTTGTTTATAAATGCTGCTGAACTAACCCAAGATAGGAATTTTGAAAATACCTTGGCTTCAAAACTGAAGTCAAAAGGTATGTTACTTTGGAGAAGAGATTTTGTTTTTGTTTCCACAGAAAACGAGAGGCTCTGGATTTATTCAGAGTTAAAAAAAATCACCTTTGACCAAGGGAGGCCACCTGAAAAATCTCCAACAGGAACAGATGGCCTGGATGTCTGAATTCTACATCCAGAACATATTCAAGACTGCTGCCTGAGATGATCAAGACACACAGGATACTCCAGTCAGGACTTGATTATAACTCTAAATTTTCTTTAGGTCCCCATAAGATCATCAGCGCCCCCAACCAGCAGGAAGTAGCCTGAAATACTACGCCCACATTCCCAACAAATGGACCATGGGTATTTTTCTTTGTTTAAAAAAAAAAAAAAGAGGGAAATGATGCGGGAGAAGTGTCTGTATTCTGTCAATCATATTTTAATAAAACGCTGATTGGCCAGGCAGGCAGTATAGGCGGGAAAGCCAGACAGGAAGTAGGGGTGGAGCAAAGAGACTGGGAGTATTCTGGAAGCAGAGCTCCCTCGCCATTCCTGTACAGACCACCGAAGAGGCAACATGTAAGCTGTCACACCGAGAAAGGTACCGAGCCCATGTGGCTAACATAGATAAGGATAATGGGGTAATATATGTTATAAGAGTTAACAAGAAGCCTGACCCAATGGGCCAATCAGTTTATAACCTTATGGAATCTTATGAATGATTTTCGTTGGGAGTTGCCAGTTGTGGGGTACCGGGTGGGACAGAAACCCCAACAAGCCGTCCCTCGTGTTACAATTATTCATTTAGTGTAAGGAGCTGGGACATGTGCAGAATTACCATGAGGGTCCTGGAGATGGAGCTGAGGTTTGGTAGTGACCACTGCCTGTACCTACTGAGCCATCAGATGTCCCCACACACCTTCTTTAAGTGGCCATACTGGCTGGCAGAAACCATATTAGTACAAGAATTTGATTCCAAGACCAAGCACTCACAGTTGCTGCTCCTTGTGCGCGATCTGTCTCTGCAGACTGTCGGATTGGCTCAGACACTCGTGGGCACATCTCTCATCCCCCTCTTCCGCTTCCATCTGTGCCTTCTCTGCTTGCTGCAATCTGGTGTAATTCAAATCAACTTTGGGTAAAACTGAGGCTAGAAGTAGGGTGTAAAAGGGTGAAGAAGACAAATAAAAGAAAAATGGGGAAATAGAAACATTTCTAAATGAAAACAAAGTTTGGGGGAGAACTCACAAACTCAAACATGAAAGAGCCACACAATGTCTAGAAATTGTTTTGTGATTTTTTTTTCAATACAAGATATACTATGCCCAGAAAACTATCTTGAAATTTGCTTTATTTCTTGTCCATAATTAATGCAAAGCAATACAATTTTTACCATTGGAGGATAATGATTCAAATCTCAAATATGGCTAAGTATGTTATTGCCTTTTTACAAAACCATGGGTAGCACACAGGTCTATATTAAGTGCAGAACACACCTGTTGATGTGATGCTGAGATGTGTGTGCTGGGAACCAGGTGCGCTACAAGGCTAAAAGCTGAAAGAGCAACCATTCTCAGTGATAGCCTCCTAGCAGAGCTCTACATAGTTGCTCGGTTATGCAAAGCTGTATATGTCTGTGTGTGCATATATATTTATATTAAGATTCAAAAAGATTTAATGCTTGTTGGCATCGTTCCTTATGGATTTTTTTTTTTAGGTTTTTATTTTATGTTTATGTATGTCTGTTCACCACATACATGCCTGGTGCCCACTGAGGTCAGAAGAGGGTGTCAGGTCTCCTGGAACTGGAGTTACAGACAGTTGTGAGCCACATCGTATAGGTGTTGGGCATTGAACCCAGGTCCTCTAGAAGAACATGTACTCTTAACTGCTGCGGCATCTCTCCAGCACCTAATTTTTATTCTTCACTTTGAATACTAAAGATTAGCTTAAAATGTGGTCATTTTTTCCCCATTTTTATTTGTTAAGTCACTGTTTCTCCCTAGGCTTAGCTCCACTCCTTGCCTCCCTTGGCCATCAAGATTTGTGAGGTTTATATGAAAATATTTCCCAGGATTCAGTGGGCATTAACTGTTCACAAGAAGTCACAGAGGAATCTTGTGCCTTCATATCGGCCTCACGACACTTAAGTAAGGCAACACACATTGTAAGTATGAAAGCCTCCCAGGAAGGGAGAGGAAGGACGTTCCCTCTAGGTTTACACTAGATTAAGGGGTTAAGGCGGCAGGGGTGGACTCAGCTTTCTCCTCTGAAGGTACAGGAAGTAAAGTAAGTGAGGTAGGCCTTGCAGTTGTGCTATCACAAAAGAACGTGTGGGGGGGGGGTGCCGACTAGAAAACCGAGGTGCTGAAGCCAGGGCAATGCCCAGCCTGGCTTGAAAACTGCTTTGAAATCTTAACTTTAAAAATTAGTAAGGAGCCATTAGGCAGAGTGTGCAAATGGGGCAGGATGTGTGTGTGTGTGTGTGTGTGTGTGTGTGTGTGTGTGTGTGTGTGTGATTATCTGTGCCAACACAGCCTGAAACCAAAGGTTTCTAGTTTCCATCAAAAGGTAGCTAAACAAATAAAACCATTTGAAAATCTTGCCCTCCAAGCAGTTGAGGCTCAAATCTGCCCTCGTGCACAAGGCTAAGGAGTGCATCTGGGGAGCCCAGGGCACCTGCTGTGTCTCACAGCCACCGTGAAGGGCTCCTGTAGTCCCATACAACGTGAGATAGCATCAATTCCTTTCCATTTAACATATGATAATGGATGGGCTCTGCGCTTTGAGTGCGTTTCAGAAGGAGATGTCTTTGACCAATTTGTACTGGTCCTGGGGGTCACTGCCAGCACTTTTCACCAATGACACTGCAATTGTCCTAGTCTGAGTTAACAAATCATTGTCACTTCATAATGGAATGGACAGAAACCAAAGACAAGAAACGGTAATAAAGATGTCCAAAATGTAAAAGTGGGGATAAAGAAAACAACAAAAAGAAAGAAGAAAAAAGAAGAAAGAGGATGTCAATAAAAGAATATTTGTGTCAGTAAGCATCAATAGTTATGTTTGTCCTAAGTAGATTCAAAGAAAGCAATGGTGAGACATGTTGACTCAACATGACAGGGCAATGGGTACATTTTCCAACAGTAAAATGAAATGCCAGGATAAAAGAACTCCATTGACATAAAATCCTGACCTGGGTTAGGCTGAGGGGCCTAGCTCAGAAAGCAACTACACTGTCAGCTCACGCTGTTTTCACATAGATGGCCAGTGGTGAAGAATGGGACAGTCCCACCAAAGCCTGTCCATTTTTTCCCCCAATCTTTGTGTTTAGTTTTATGTCACAGATATTTTGCCTTTAAAAGATCTCCAAGACAGCAGCTTCGAATGAATCATCACCCTAATAAGGCAACTTGATTCCATGCAACAACCAAAAAAAGGACAAAATCTGGCTCAGTTTAGATAGACACAGGCCCCAGGCGAGGTCTCCTGACAGCGTTCTATGGCAGGTGTCAGAGGGGAAGAAAGGAAGGGACAGAGGGAACTCATGAGTATCGTACCTTTGCTCCAGCTGCCTCATGGCCGAAGTGATTTTATTGGTCTTTTCTTCTAGTCGGGCAATTATTTCATTTTTTTCTTTCAAGCTGTCTTCAGACCCCTATTTATAAAAGTACAACAGCTTGGTGGTTTTGATTTTGAAACTCAAATATTAGGCCAAGCGTAGTGGTATATGCCTGGGATCCTAGCACTCAGGAGGTACGCAGGAGTATGGGTTCAATGCTAGCCTTACTACACTGGGGCCACTGAGGCCAGCCGGGCAGCCACTAACCTAATAATAAGAACAAGATTCAGGATGCAGCAGAGAAGGGCTCAGTGAGAAGACACTTACCTGGAGCTCCAGCAGAGTTCCCCTCTGGAGCCCACATGGTAGGGGAGCCTACTCCTGAAATTGTCCCCTAACTTCCATATATGCCCCAAGACACACACAGAGCACACACACACAATAGCAATGTTTTTTAAAAATACAGCGACAAAAACCCAACTGGATCATACCTCCATACTATTGAAAGATAACAGAAGGCTGAGCAGTGGTGGCGCATGCCTTTAATTCCACCACTCAGGATGCAGAGGTAGGTGGATCTTTGTGAGTTTGAGGCCAGCCTGGTCTACAAAGTGAGTTCCAGGACAGCCAGGGCTACACAGAGAAACTCTGTCTTGAAAACACAACAAACATTTGAGAGGTATGAGAGATCACTTAGTGGGTAAAGGTGTTTGTTGCTAACGTGGACAACCAGAGTTGGATCCCTAGAATTCACACGATGAAAGAGAACCCACTCCACAGGGTGCCCCTTGAGCTCTCCATGTGCATGCTGGTGCACACACACAAAATAAATGTACTAAGTTGGCTGAGGGCCAGGAATGGTGGCATAGGCCGTGAATGCCACTCCAGAGGCAAAGACAGGCAGTTCTTTGAGTTCAATGAGTTCCCGACTAGCCAGGGCTACACAGTGAGAGTCTGTCTTAAACAAAACCAAAATATTGGAATCAGAGGCTGGAGAGACAGCTCTGCTTTAAGATTACTTGTTGCTTTGGCAGAGGGCCTCAGTGTGGTTCCCAGCAACCACGTGGTGGCTCACAGCCATCTGTAACTCAAATTCCAGAGGATTCTATGCCCTCTTTGGACCTCCAAGGGCACAAGGCATGCATGTGATACACATTCATACATTCAGGCAAACCACTTAAAAAATCAATCTAAATTTTTTTTAAAAAAATTTAAACTTTTAAATTTTAAAAAATTTTTGTTGAAATTTAAAAGTAAGTTGGGGAGAGGGAGGAAAACAGATTTGGGACTGGAGCTGTAACTCAAAGATGGGGTGATGCATCTGTATCATGATGAAGCCCAGGATCTCAGCACCCAAAAGTTAAATCGACAAAGGATTAGGGCCATTTTTTGTGAATTTGTAGATGGATCCTATACAAGGTAGTTATTGCCTGCAGTAACATCTGGAAGTAAATTACTAAGTATCATACTGGAAAAAAAAAAAAAACAAACAAACAGGACTGGTGAGATGGCCCAGAAGGTAAAGGCACTCGGCACCAAGCCTGGAGATTTGAGTTCGACCTCCAAACCCTCATGGTGGAAGGAGGGAACCGGCTCTCACATTTATCCTCTGACCTTCACATTTGCACTTTGGTATGTACGTCTGTGCTGTAAATCCCAGCGCTCGGGGAAGTAGACAAATGCAAACTCTGTGGAGTTGAGACCCTGTGTTGCGGTTCAAATGAGAACATGATCTCCCACAGGTTCAGGTCTCAATTGGTGGTACTACTTCCGGAGGCTGTGGAATAATTTTTTGGTTTGTTTTTCAAGACAGGTTTTCTCTATGAAGCCCTGGTTGTTCTATAGAAGTAGCTCTTATAGACCAGGCTGGTCTTGAACTCGCAGAGATCCACCTGCCTCTGCCTCCTGCATGCTGGAATTAAAGGTGTGCACCACTAACACCAGGCCTTTAGAGGTTGGGCCTCACTAGAAGAAGGGAGTCACTGGGGTGGGCCTTGAGGAGCACAGCCTGTATCCTTCCTGTCCTGACTGGGAGTAGCTTCAGTAGCTACAAGCCACTTCCACCACTGCTGGCCCCACATAACTGACTCTCCTTCAAACTGTGAGCTGAAATAAATCCTTCTTTACTTCAATTGGGCAGGCACCCTGTCCCCAACAATGAGAAGACAAATAGACCATCTCAAAAAAAAAAAAAAAAAAAGATCCAGGGGTAGTGGTGGTACACTTAACTCCAGCACCCGGGAGGCAGAGGCAGGCGGGTCTCTGAGTTTGTGTGTAGACCACACAGTGAATCCCAGGGTAGTCAGGGCTACACAGAGAAACCATGTCTTTGAAAAAGAAAGAATGAAATCAGGGTGGAGATGGCTCAGTGGCACAGCGTTTGTTCAGCATGTAGGAAGCCCAGGGCTTGATCCCTAGAAGTGTCAAGAACGAAAGAACATTCTGTACCTGCAGCTTTTGGTACATCTCAATGTTGATTGCTTTGACTTCTTCCAGCTGTTGCCGAAGGCCTATGAGAGTGTCTTGTTTCTCATGAATGTCTTTCTCCAACAACTTCATAGCAAGCTCAATCTCATGTTTCATGCCAACTTGTACTGATAGCTCGTTCTCCACATCCTGCAATTTCACAGTGTCTTCATGAACAGGTTATTTCAGGTCATCGAAAGCGGACGTGCAACCATTAGCAACCCCAGGAACAGTGTCCCACCCATCTGCTCCTCGTAAGTCTGTCATTGAACAACCAACCTGCCTGGTGTAGGGGCCCACACGTGCAGTCCACAGGAGGACTGCTGTGAGTTCAAGGCCGGCCTGGGCTACACAGGGAGGTTCTATTTCAAAAACAAGGTCTGGGCGTGCTGGTACACACCTTTGATTCCAGCACTCCTCAGGAGGCGGAGGCAGGGGGATCTCTGAGTTTGAAGACAGGTGGTCTACACAGAGTTCCAGGCCAGCCAGAACTACACAGTGAGATCATGTCTCTCCTAGTTTGCTTTCCGTTGCTGTGATAGAGCATGAAACAAAAGCAGCTTGGAAGAGAAAGGGTTTATTTGGCTTAGAAGTTAAAGTCCATTACAAGCAAAGACAGGAACCTGGAGGCAGAGACCACAGAGGAGTGGTTCTCAATCTGTGGGTCGCAACCCCTAACAGATCAATGGAAAACACAGATATTTAAGCTACAACTCATAATAGTAGCAAAATTACTGTTATGAAGTAGCAATGAAAATAATTTTATGGTTGGGGGTCACCACATGAGGAACTGTATTAAAGGGCTGCAGTGTTAGCCAGGTTGAGAACCACTGCCATAGAGGCATGCTGCTTACTGACTTGCTCCCCATGGTTTGCTCAGACTTTCTTATTTATACAGTCCAGGGTTACCTGTCTGCAATGGCACTGCCCACCCTGGGCTGAACCCGCACACATCAATCATCAATCAAGAAAATGCACACAGACTTATTTGTCAGTTCGATGGAGGTATTTCCTCAGCGCAGGACTTCTTCCCAGGTGACTCTAGTCTATGTCAAGTTAAGAAAAACTACCCAGGACACTGCTATGAAAGAACCATTTGGAATGCTGTGAAGATGTGTTCCTCTCATTGGTTTAGTAAAAGGCTAAAAGGCCAATAGCAAGGCAGGTAAAGAATTGGGATGAAGAAGGCGGAGTTGACAGCCAGATGCAGAGGAAGCAGAAGATGAACATGCCATGCTGAAAAAGGTACTGCAACATGGTAGAGCACAGATAAAAAATACAGGCTAGTTTAAGTTGTAAGAGCTAGTCACTAACAAGCCTAAGCTACTGGGTGATCATTTATAATTAATAATAAGTCTCTGTGTGGTTATTTAGGAGCTGGTTGGTGGGACAAAAAAGTTCACCTACAGCACACTATCTCAAAAAAAATTTTGATTAAGAAGTTTGCTAAGGGGCTGGAGAGATGGCTCAGCGGTTAAGGGCATTGCCTGGTCTTCCAAAGGTCCTGAGTTCAATTCCCGGCAACCACATGGGGTGGTTCCCAACCATCTTTAATGAGGTCTGGTGCCCTTTTCTGACCTGAAGGTATATACACAGACAGAATATTGTATACATAATATTTTTTTTTTAAAAAAGAAGTTTGCTAAGGCTAAAGAGTGTACTGACAGGCAGGTAGTAATCCTCTTCCAGCCAAGGCAGTGACTGTAAGGATCTGCATATGACTTATTAAGCTACATGTGTGCACTTTTGATGTATGTTCTACTGTCTGAAAGCTGAAGTTTTAAATATGACCTTGCTAATATTTACATATTTCACTGTGTCCTCTTACGTATTGTTTCTGGGATGGTGCTCTGCAGTCACACTTCAACCAGACTAGAACGTTTTCAAAATATGAAGAGATGTGGAATTTTTGGTGGGGGGGTGGTGTTTGAGACAGGGCTTCTCTGTCCTGGAACTAGCTAATATAGACCAGGCTGGCCTCGAACTCAGAGATCCGCCTGTCTCTGCCTCCTGAGTGCTGGAATTAAAGGCGTGCGACACCACCGCCCGCCAAGAGATGTGTTTTTAAAGCTTAAAAGAAATTTAAGAACATTGGGCCTGCAACATGGCTCCCTGAGCATCACGGTTAGCTTTATGACACAACTTAGGCTCACGTGAGGGTGCTTCTGCGGAGGGACGTCTGGATAGCTGAGGTAGGAGGTCCCACCCCACTGTGGGCAGGGCAGTTCCTGGGGCTGTATGAGGCTACCCAAGCATGAACCTGGGGGAGAGGCAAGCTTCAAGTTCCTGACTTCCGGTCCTGCCCTGACTTCCCCCAGTGAAGGGCTGTGACCGACCCTTTCCTCCCCTGCGTGGATTCAGTGCTTTATCAGAGCAAAGGGACTAGAACAGTGGACAAAGGTGTCTGCTACCAAGCCTGGTGACCTGAGTTCAGTCCTTGTGATAGAAGGAGCGAACTGACCCTGGAAAGTTAGCCCTCTGACCTCTGCACATGCGCCATGACGAGTGTGCGCACACACAAAAATACAAAAAAAAAGAGTCAGTGTATTAGGGGTGTCAGGTTCCACTCCACGTGCAGGAAGCCAAGGCCACGCCATGGATGGTGCTGCTTGAGAGTAAGTTATTCCCAAGGCGCCCTACCTGCCGCAGCTGGGACTCGTCTCGAAGCTGCCTTCTGGCATCGTTATACATTTCGTCTAGACCTTGCCGGGAATGCTTGTAGGTTTGAAGCTCAGTTTCCACATCCACTTTGGTAACCTAGGAAGAAGAGGCCACACCGTCACCTGGTGCTCTGTCAGCGCACACAGCTGGCCCACGTGACTCCGGACCCTTCGGCTCGGCAGCCGCTACTCACCTCCAGGTGCTGCCGCGTTCTCATTAAGATCAACTCGTTTTCACTCCGCAACTGATGGTTTTCTTCCTGGAGCTTAATGATGTTGTTCTTCGCTATGGCTAACTGCAAATTGTGAAACAGAAACAAAAAGCCACTCTCCACGCCTTTCTGTAGACTTGCCATTAGGTCTGGGGCTACAAACGGGAGGAAACAAAACCCTAAAACCAGCAGGGGTTCTGGTGCCCTCTTCTGGACTACATGGGCACCTGGCATGAATGTGGCACACAGACATACATGTAGGCAAAATAACCATACGCATATACTTTTTTATTTTTGGTTTTTCGAGACAGAGTTTCTCTGTGGCTTTGGAGCCTGTCCTGGAGCTAGCTCTTGTAGACCAGGCTGGCCTTGAACTCAGAGATCTGCCTGCCTCTGCCTCCCAAGTGCTGGGATTAAAGGTGTGTGCTACCACTGCCCAGCTTTTTTTTTTTTTAAGGTATATTCTTTTTGTTTTGTTGCATTTTTTTAGACAGGAACTCACTATATCACCCTGGGTGGACTTGAATTCAGATCTGTCTGCCTATCTCCAAATGCTGGGATACCGGGCAGGCCTACCATGCCTGACTGTATTACTCTTCTCACAATTTCTTTAGATATTTTATGTGTGTGTGTTTTACCTGCATGTATGTATGCACATCACATGTGTGCCTGGTACCCAAAGAGGTCAAAACAGGGTATTGGAGGCTGGGTGGGGGTGCCACACACCTTCAATCCCAGCATTCGGGGGGCAGAGGCCAGCCTGGTCTACAGAGAAAGTTCCAGGATAGCCAGGGCTACACAGAGAAAACCTGTCTCAAAAATAAATAAATACATACATACATAAAAGAGAGTGTTGAATTCCCTGCAACTGGTTGTGAACCACCTTGCAGATGCTGGGAATTGAACCCGGGTCCCCTGCAGGCACAGAGCCATCTTCTTAGTCCTTACACTATTTCTGTTCACAGCTGAAACACGCTCATCTGCTAGACTTGTGAGAAACTGCTCGTCAGACTCACAATGTGTCGACTACAGTGCGGGAGGAAGCACACAAGAGTTCTGTGTAAACCAAGCACACTGGGGCTGGAAAGATGGCTCAGTGGTTAAGAGCACTGGCTGCTTTTCCAGAGGAACCGGGTTCAATTCCTGGCACCCATGTGATAGCTCACAGCTATCTGTAACTCTAGTTCCAGGGGATCCGACACCCTCACACAGACATACATGCAGGCAAAACACCAATGCACATAAAATATAAGTAATCATTAAAAAAAGCACATCATAAAGACTTGTGTATATGGGGGAAAGGTGCTGTTTGAAAATGTGATAAATGTTCATGGTGACTCAACAGGACCCAGGTGTCCCCACTATGACAGGAGTCACACTTCATGAATTAAGGAATCTGTGTGGCTTTTGTCTCTGGGGCTGACTTCTAGTTACTGCCTGTAACAAACAAGAGCACCACCGGGCAGTGGTGGCTCAAGCCTTTAATCCCAGCATTCGGGAGGCAGATGCAGGTGGATCTCTGTGAGTTCGAGACCAGCCTGATCTTCAAGAGCTAATTCCATAGTTACTGAGAAACCCTGTCTCGAAAAACCAACAAACAAACAAAACAAAACAACAGTACCTCAGAGTCACGCAATTAGAAACTTAAGGTCTATGTGGGTTCTCAAGAACTTACAACCTTCAACAGCAAATGTCCCACCATGGAAAGTGTGTGTGCGTGTGTGCACGTGCGTGTGTGTGTGCATGTGTGCAAGTGCATCGGGGGATGGATGCTGACAGCATTCACACTTAAAATAGAAAAAGATCACAGACAGTAGGGTACTCAAAGACAATCATCCACTGCTGGGGACAGTACCTCTTCGATCAGCTTCGTGTTTGATTTTTCTAGCGAGTCAACTCTTGAATGGAGGCTGCTGACTGTGCTGCTGCAATTGGCAAAGAGAACGAACTCATTCAGAATCACGCAAGCTCACGCCGGCCAGGTCAGCACGCTTCCTCGGGCTCGTGTTTACTGACATGGACCAATGGCCCAGAATAGATTTCTAGAGGGGGACAAGTTCACTGACCTGGATAACTTCATCTAAAGCAGCAGTAACAGCCGCAGCAAAAGAATCAGCATTTCTATATAAATCCCTCTGGGTGCCTGTTAGTTAGATGCCAGCACCAAGTCCAGAGCGCTGTGCAAGAGAGGCAACGGCTCTACCGTGGAGATACATCAGCAGCCTTAGGGGCTCTTTGTTTTAGTTTTGGCTTTGGGATTTTGTTGTTATTGTTGTTGTTTTATTTTGTAAGACAGGGTGTTGTTTAGCCCAGGCTGGCCTCAAACTGACTTACAAGCAGCACCTTGAACTCCTGACCATCCCACCGCTCCTTCCCCAGTGCTGGGGTTATTACAGGTGTACTACTAATGTCGGCTGTGCATCTAGCCAGGCCTGCACGCTCCTCTCAAAAAGCTGAGGAGGCAAGCCTGCAAAGATGCTCCGTACAAAGGAATGGGGATTGAGCTGGAAACAAAGGCAGCCCTGAAGTGAGGCTCTGATGCAGTCAGGTGCTCTAACACTTACTTGAGTTGTCTATTCAGTTCCTCAACGTAATTCTTTTGGTCTAAGATGGCAGCAATTTGAACATTCCTGTTGTGGGAGGAAAGGGTAGTTTAAAATGTATCTAAAGCATCTAGAAATGGTTATAAAACTCACGGTGATAAAATACGGCTTGGCTTTTAACACAGGCTGTCACAGCAGAAAATTGGGCCCTAGGAGCTCTGTGGACTGAGTTACTTGCTAATGTATCATTCATACATCTGAAACAGACCCAATTAGATAATAAGCCACCGCTGTCACAAAATATAGTTATTAAGGTGTCTCTCATCAAGGACAGATTACCAAAGCTGACCTGTCTAAAGGATTTTCCCTGGCTACCCTGTAGAGCTTTTAAAGGAAGTAGGGAGGGAGGAGCAGAAACCACACCAAAAATAGACAGCACAAGTTCATTTGCAAATAGCTATGCAAAGCTACAACCCCTGGGTTACCCCTAGGTGGGAGTAGGGGGAGCGCAAGTCTTTAATCTTGGCACTTTAATCTTGGGAGGCAGAGGCAGGAGGATCTCTGTGAGTTCGAGGCCAGCCTGATCTACAGAGCGAGTTCCAGGACAGCCTCCAAAGCTACACACAGAGAAACCCTGTTTTAAAAAACACAAACAGCCAGGCAGTGGTTGCAAGCACCTTTAATCCCAGCACTTGGGAGGCAGAGACAGGCGGATCTAGGACAGGATCCAAAGCTACAGAGAAACCCTGTCTGGAAAAAAAAACAAAACCTAAAACTGGGAAATAAGGAGGAAAATATACCTTTCTTTGTTTCCGATCTCTTCTTCATTCTTTAAATACATTGAGAAATCAATCACTCCAACCTGAAATTAATAAACAGATTTTTATTTAAAGAGAAGAAATCCTTCTCCACAGGTCTGGTGTGAGGCAGTCTTGTCCATCCATCTCCACAGGCCTGAGAGATGATAGCAGCATGCTGTGGGCATGGCTAGGAGGGCCTTCCGGTGATGTTTCCATCCTGATAGTGCTGACCTCAAGCAATGGTGTATCCCTTGCCCAAACCTGAAACCTGAAGTCTCCAGGGAGACTTAGGACTATGGCAGGTGCGACTACTGGGGGAAGCCACTGCTTGGACCGGCGCCTGAAGGATCCATTTGGCCTTGGGCCTTGCCTGTTATTCTCTGCTCTCTGGCCGACCTTTCTGCCATAACGCTCCCTCCTCACCACAGGCCCACAGCAAAGGGCCAGCCAGTTAGAAGTCTGAAAATAAACCCTTTCCCTCCTTTGTGGTGATCTAAATGACAAGCATCCTCACAGGCTTCTGTATTTTAATACTTGGTCCCCAGATGGCATCACTGTTTGGGGAGATTATGGAACCTTTGGGTGGTACAGCCTGGCTTAAAGAAACGTGACCATGTGTAAGCTTTTGGGGTTTACAGACACACCCCATTTCCCATTCTCTCCCTCTGCGTGATCAGTCGGCTTCCTTTTCCTGTGGTCATGCCATGCCTTCCCCACCATTAAGGACTCTAGCCCTCTGCAACCCTAAGCCAGAATAAACTCTTTTTGTAAATCTCTCTGGGCATGGTAATTCATCATAACCACAGACAAGTAACTAATACTTAAACTGTTTCATTTTTCTTTTCTTTCTTTCTTTCTTTTTTTTTTTTTTTTTGTTGTTGTTTTGTTTTTCAAGACAGGGTTTTTCTGTGTGTAGCCCTGGCTATCCTGTAACTCATTCTGTAGACCAGGCTGACTCAAACTCACTGAGACCCATCTGACTCTGCCTCCCAAATGCTGGGATTAAAGGTGTGTGCCACTACCGCCCAGTTTTTTTATTATTATTATTATTTATTTATGTATTTTTTTTAAGATATGAGTGCTGTCTGCATATGGGTATGCATATCAGAAGAAAGTATCAGATCCCATTGTAGATGGTTGTGAGACACCATGTGGTTGCTGGAAATTGAACTCGGAACCTCTCAATGAGGAGCCGGTGCTCTTAACCACTAAGCAATCTCTCCAGGCCACTTAAGCTGTTTCTATCAGGTGTTTAGCTAACATAGCATGCAACTGAATCTTGCTCGGTAAGTGTTTAGCAGCACCGTGCGCGACTTCGAGGAGCCACTCGGACCCAGGAAGAACCACCTGTAATGAGAACGCTTGTCTTATTCGTGCTCACTCACCTGGGAGTCAAGGTCCTCGCCCTTCACACACAGATTGGCATCAATCACGTTCAGACCGACCAGCAGCCCAACAATCACGGCTCCTTCCTCCTCCATCATTAGCGCGTGGTACTCATAGAACTCGCTGGGGACATCAGAACAGGGACCGTCATCACCAGCCGACCACTTAATGGAACACCTCCCCTCCCCCACCTTCCATCTTGGAGACACGGAACTAACCTAATTTCCTCTAAAGTGCACTCTGAACACTTAACTTGTAAAGAGGCTCCATGTCTCCACAGGAAATTAAAAGAACTGAAGGAGATAGAAAAGAAAGAACGACACCGAGGGAAGAACAAGGAAAGCAAGAGAAGAAAGGGGTAACGCTGGGCATGAGCGCCTATGCCTCAAATCCCAGTACTCAGGAGGCTGAGATGGGCGTTGCTGTGAGTTCAAGGCTACCCTGCATCACAAAGTGAGTTCAGGTCAGCCTGGGCAGAAAGTTAGAACGTGGCCTTTTTTCTTTCTTTTTTTTTTTTTTTTTTTTAGTTTCTCAAGATAGGGTTTATGTAACCACCATGGCTAGCCTGAAACTCGCTCACGTAGACCAGGCTGGCCTCAAACTCATAGAGATCCGCCTGCCTCTGCCTCCCAAGAGCTGGGATTAAAGGAGTGTACCACCACTGCCCAGTAGACCATGATTTTTAAAAAATTATTATTGTATATGTTTTGAGTGTTTTGCCACATGCGTACGGTGCCCACAGAGGCTATAAGATGGCATCAGAGCCCCTGGAGCTGGAAGCATAGACAGTGTGAGCTGCCATTACGGATGCTGGGACCTGAACCAGGCTTTCTAGAAGAGCAGCCAGTGCTCTTAACTGCTGAGCCATCTCTCCTGCTTGTGGACCCTTGTCTCAGAGAGAGTCGGGAGAGAATGAGGCAACCCTGAGGCCTGGAATACAATTTCTCAGGACTCAGTAACTGCTGCTAGCCCGATGACGACACTCACAACCAGAGCTGAAATTTCAGCCCCCAAGTTCATTAAGACCTTTGGAGCATCTGGCTGTGGCAACCTTTAACCCCAGCACCTGGTAAGCAAAGGCAGGCGAGTCTCCATGAGTTAAAGGATAGCCCTAGCCAGCCAGGGCTACACAGTGATACTCTGTCACAAACAGATTTATTTTATGTGTTTGAGTATTTTGCTTGGGTGAATGTATGTGTACCATGTGGATGCCTGGTGCCTTCGAAGGCCGGAAGAAAGCACTGCACCCCAGAATTAGATGGCTGTAAGCCGCTGTGTGTGTCCTGGAAACAGAATTCCGGTTCTCTGCAAGAGCAACAATTGCTCTTAGCCACTTAGCCATTTATCTAGTCCTCTAAGTATTCTCAATGGGTAGATAATTATCCACTAAGGACACATGGATAGAGACAGTCTAAGAAGTGTCCACGCCAGACCTGTCCCCAGGCATGGTGGTCACCTGTATCCTAGTACGAGGAAGATAGAGGAAGGAGGATCAAGAACTCAGGGTCATCCTTGGCTACACAGCAAGTTCAAGATCGGTCTGTGCTATCTGAGACCCTGCTGAGAGAGAGAGAGAGAGAGAGAGAGAGAGAGAGAGAGAGAGAGAGAGAATACTGCTGAGAAACCCCAAAGCTTCAACTATGGCCGCTGTCATTTATCAAATAGAAAACCTGAGACATGAAACCAGAGTCACAAACTAAACACAGGACGGTTTTCCCAAAATACCAGAGAGGCAGGCCGCGGGAACCAGGATAAGGGTCGTCCTGGGCCCGCTCCCTTTGAAGACCAATTGCCTTGCTCTGTAAGCTGTCTTCAATATCTGATCTTCAATTAAATCATGCTCAGGAGATAGCTGAAGCATTTGTTTGGATATTGAAGATCTTAAGAAGAAATGTGCAATTAAACCCCCAAGTCCCAATGCAAATTTGTATCCAAAATTACAATTCAGAGGAAGGGAATCAACTTGGAAACATGCTTAGGTTACCCCATGTCAGGGGATAAAAGGCAAGTGGTATTTGTCCTAGGCTAGCTCCTCACTGGTGCTAATCACTGAGGTGTCCTTTGCTTTCTCATTTTGCTCTTCTCTTATTTTATGGTATTTCATAGCCCTTTCTTCACCTCTTTTTGGATGACAAGCTATAAATGAAATAAACAAGCATGGCTTAGTGATACTGACCTCAGCAGCTCCCGCTGGATAATTAAGCAACGCAGGTAATCGGCCATTTTCTTTTGCATGAGGGCTAATCGGAGCCATGCCCTAGCTCGACCCAGGGGGGTCCTGGAAAGAAGAACCAACCAGTTAGAAAAGTCTTAGGGCTAAAAACCATAGCCACCTGCTCCTTATCTGTGGAAGTATACATGCAAAGAAAAAGGCATTTTGTCACGTTTGTTTTTTTTAATCTTTAGAATTAGATGCTGGGGTGTGTGTGTGTGTGTGTGTGTGTGTGTGCAAGGCAGACCCACACTCTTTCGACCAAGAGGGCACATGTGGGAAGCAAAGACTGGCCTTGGGATGGCTTCTCCATTTTACCTTATTTTTGGATGTGGTCTCTCATGGAACCTGAATTATGCTGCCCAGTGGGGGTTTCTGGGTTTTGCCTGTCTGCCTACTCACCTGGCAGCACCTAGTTTTTACACGGGTTCTGAAGATATAAACTCAGGTATTCATGCCCGTGTAGCTCAGCACTTCACCCACCGAGTGATCTCCTTGGTCCTCATGCCACCTTTAACCCTATTTATGTTTATGGGTGTTTTACACACATCTGTATGTACACAGTGCCTAGAGAGGCCAGAAGAAGGCACTGGATCCCCTGGAACCTGGTGGCGATATAAACAGTCGAGAGCCACCATGTGGGTGCTGAGAAATCAAAGAGCCGAGACCTCTCTCCAGCCCCATAAGCTAGTTTTTTTGAGCAAGCAATTCTACCTCTGAGAGGTCAGCAAAACCTGCTCTGGTAAGGTGGGGTTTTGGTTTTTTGAGATTTTTATCTTTATTTATGTATGTGTTTGCCTGAATAGATGCTTGTGTACCATGTGGGTGCAGAACCTGCTTGCGGAGGCCAGAAGTGGGTGTAAGAACCCCGAGACTAGAAATACAGATGATTGTGAGCCACCACGTGGGTGCTAGGGTCGAACACAGGTTCCTTGGAAGAATGGCTGCTGCTCTTAACCATTGAGCAACCACTCCAACCTCAAGTTATTAAGTACCAAAGTACCACTGTAAGCTTTGGAGGAAAGAACTCTCTAGAACATTACCTCTATAAGAGGTATTATACCGCAGAGGAATGGGCCTTCATGTCTACAATGACACATCTACACCAGGGCACATGTGCCTTTGAGTGTCCATGTGCAAACACACACAGGCACATACAGACATAAAATGGGGAGGGAATGACTAAGTCATCTTATAAAGATTAAGGGCTGGGGAGACGGCTCAGTGGGTAAAGGGTGCTTGCCAAACAAACCTGATGGCCTGAGGTCCAGCCTCAGATCCCACAGTGCCAGGAGAAACCTAACCCTGAAAGTTGTCCTCTGACCACCATGGCACCCACATGCCCTCACTCCCACATATACACATCACACATATGTACTCACGTGTGAGCGCACACACACACACACACACACACACACACAGACACACGGACACACGGACACAAATAACAATATTTAAAAGTTAAAAGAGTGGCAGAGCCAGACATGGGCGCACAGCTTTAATCCCAGCACTCTGGAGGCAGAGGCAGGCAGAACTCTGAGTTTGAGGCCAGCCTGGTCTACATCACGAGTCCCAAGACAGCCAGAGCTTCATAAAGAAACCCCGGCTCAAGAAAACAACAAGCTGGGGCTGGAGAGATGGCTCAGAGGTTAAGAGTACAGGCTGCTCTTCCAGAGGTCCTGAGTTCAATTCCCAGCAACCACACGATGACTCACAACCACCTGTAATGGGGTCTGGCTCCCTCTTCTGGCCTGTAGGCAAACATCCAGACAGAATGCTGTATACATAATAAATAAATGAATCTTTGCTACATACTGTCTCGCCAGTGTAGCAGAAATGCTGACTGGACGGGCAGGTGTTGCCGGAGGATTGGGATCTGTACTTCTTGGAGCTGTGTTCCAGGCAGTCCCTTGGCAATCAGTTGTGGTGTAATGCCACCTGAGTCGCCATTTATACTGACTCAACCTGGCTGTCCTTGGCCATATGTCTGTCTTTTCCCTTGTCTGTGTGTTCTTTGTGATCCTTGCATATTGCTAACAGATCAGACTATTCCAGGCAGTTACGAATACAAACAAGACTGTTGAGGACATTTTTGAGTTTTGCCACACTATTCATTAAAGCCTTTAAGGAAATAGCCAGTTCTGGAAATAGGGAAGTCATCGTTAAAATAATTCCTTAATGATGTGGAGCAAGAGGAGTTGCTCTTATCAGGAGAAACCTTAGAAGCCTTCTGTAGGAAAACAGCTGCAGCAACACTAGATGTTTGCCTGAGAATTACGTGCGGGAGGCCTATGCAGCCTTCATTATGGTCAGAATAAACCTAGGTTAATTACAACATCTGACCCTGAGAGCCGGGGAGGGAAGAAAGTTGAGATTTATGGTATGAGACCAGTTTCAGACAAGTTTGAGATCATGTCTTTAAAATTTCCTAGCAGAAAGTTTTCCCAGGAAGATAATGGCCTTCTCCTCTCACACCCCAAGATATTCTGAGCACAAGGTCACTTAGCCCAGCCAGCCGCCTGGTACAGACTGGGCGAAAGTCCTTGTGCCCAAGTCAAAGCATTTTCAAAGATTCTTTTTGTAAACTGTTTTATGCTTTTTTTTTATGATCTGATGATGTATGCCTTTGCCAAGTTCTTTGTTTGTAAAAATATAAAAGCCTCGCATTGAAAAAGTAAAATTGCAGCAGCATTTTCAAAATACATTGAGGGTGTCTGCCTGTCATGCCTCTGCCATATCCTGAAATCTCCTGTCCTTTGTCCTGTTCCCCCACGGTCTGAGTGGCTCCCCTGAGCCGGTCCGTAGAAAACCTTAAAGGAAAAAGAAAGAAAGAAAGAAAGAAAGAAAGAAAGAAAGAAAGAAAGAAAAGAAAAGAAAAGAAAAGAAAAGAAAAGAAAAGAAAAGAAAGAGAGAAAACAACAAGCTCACGGTAGTCGCACAAGCCAGGGTGGGGAGGTGGGTGGTGCAGAGGTAGACAGAGTTCTGTGAGTTTGAGGCCAGCCTGGTCTACAGAGTGAGTTCCAGAACAGTCAGGGCTGCACAGAGAAACCCTGTCTCAAAAAAAAAAAAAAAAAAAAAAAAACCAACTTTTCAACATTTATGATTTCTGAGCCCAGAATACACCAGCTCTAAGTTTTTTCTTTTTTCTTTTCTTTTCTTTCTTTTTTTTTTTTTTTTTTGCTGGCCTGGAAATCTCTATGTAGACCAGGCTGGCCCAGAACATACAGAGATCTACCTACCTTGGCCTCCCCACAGTGACTAATTCTTAATTCTTGATGAAGGGACTTAGGGAAATTTAACGAAGGAAACAATACCTGCTGAGTTACAGACTGGGCGGGGCTTTGGGAGAAGAAAAGGAAGCGGTGCTTAGACTGAGGATCAAGAGGCCGACACATGAACGTCTTGGGATGAGCAACCATACTTACTTAAGGCCAGGCAAATCCCGGACACTTGCTCCGATTTCCTCTGCTTCTGGATACAGCTTCTCTACCAGTTCCAGAGGGCCCCAGATAGTTTTGTTATAACTCAAAAATGATTTTCTCACTGGAAAGAATACAAAGTACAATTTCAACTTGTGAAATGGGATAACATCATCTTAAGTATTTAGCTAGAGATCTAGAGAGACGGTTCAGTGGCTAACAGTGCCTGTTCTTCAGGCATGAGGACTGAGCAAGTCCCAGCACCCACGTGACGAGCTGGGTATGGCTATGTGTGTGCCTGTAACCCCAGCATTGGAGGATGGAGATGGCAGTCCTGAGGGTTTGCTGGCTAATCTGCCCAAGTGAACCTATGAGCTTCCAGTTCAGTGAGAGAGCTTGTCTCAAGACAGACAGACACTGTCCTTCTCTGGCATGCATACACACACACACCTATAATCCTAGCTCTATGAGAGGCTGGAACATGGAGATCAGAAGTTCAAGGTTTGCCTAAGTAACTTAGTGACATCCTGTCTCAATATAAAGGAAAGAAGGCTGGAGACAGACCTCAGCGGTAGGGCATTTGCTTAGAACGCACAAGGTCGAGGTTTAACGCCTAGCACTGTCAGAAGTAACTTAATGTGTACACACATATGTACATACACATACACATCTTGGCTGGTCTTTCATATCGGGAACATCCAAGTAAGTAACTAAATGACGGCCTGTTATGAGTCAGTAAGGACAAGTCTAGTACGAGTCCCGGAGAAACGGCACTAGTAGAAATGTGTGCAGTGATGCTAGGAGTGGCAGGAGTGTTACTCTAGGGTGTGACGAAGAAAAGAGTGAGGTAATGCTGCAGAGTGGTATAAACATGAGGCAGAAACGACCAGAAGACGTTCTCAAGATGATCTGCTAGAGACTCTGTCGGAGAGGCGCCGGAGAACCTCTACAGCATCGAGAATCAATCAATCGATCAACGAGCAATCGATCAACGAGATATCGGACCAGAGATCTTCCAAGAGCCAGAGAACTAGCTCTTGCCAGTGGATCAAGACTTGCTGATCCGGAGGTCTACGTCGAGAGCCACGAACCGCCATCAGGTCGTATACCCCAATGCCTTATTAGATAGAATATAGTAATGCCTTGTCTAGGATTTAGAAATATATACTGGCCGAGGAATGCCACCTCGGTGTGATAGGATTGGAGTGGAAGTGAATATGTGCTTGTGTGATATTACATTTTTGTTTGTGATAGTGATACTTGCTTATTGGCTGTGCCAGAACGATTGTAAGATCTTGAAGTGCCTATACAATAAACTTAGTTCGGACAAAGCAGAGAACTGCAATCCTGAGTGTCATTTACTTGCAGACCTCCAAGTAAGGCCAGAGGGCCCACTCAGTAGTGCTCGCGACACGGCCTGAGTCTTTCTTTACCAAAACCAAAATAAAAAGATCAGATGGCCCAAGCAGGATGACCTCCGTAAGTCTATTTACTAAATCAAGCACAAAGCCAGGTATGGGGGCACACACCTGGAATCCTAGCCCATGGGAGGTCGCGGCAGAAGAGTCAAGTTTAAGCCTCCCTGGACTACAGAGAAAGTTCAAGATCAATTGGGAAACTCTGCAGTATCTTGTCTCAAATTTATCTGAAACGTTCAGAGTTCTGAAGGTAGAGGAGACTGAGTTCAGTGGCAGAGGCCAGCCTGGAATGCACGAGGCCCTGGGTTTGATCTCCCACACTAAAAGCAAAGGAGAACGTAGTAAAGGTGCCTTCCTTCTAAATACATGCAGCTGCAGCTTTCAGTCGGACACCATTTGGGCTGGGAATACAATTCGGTTGGTAGACTGCTTGCCCACCATGCAGGAAGCCTTGGGTTTGAGCCTGGATTGCCATAGCCTATGCCCATAATCAGGGAGGTGGGAAGTTCAAGCAGCAGGATCAAGAGTTCAAGGCTAGCCTGGTCTACAAAGCGAGTTCTGTCTGTGTGTTTAGGAGAATCAAAGTCACAGATAGAGACTCAGCCTCAAAAACCCAAAACAAGCAAACAAAAAATAATTCAAGGTCACCAGGTATAATTGCAAATGTCTTTAATCCCAGTGCTCAGGAGGCAGAGACAGGGGGATTTCTGTGAGTTTGAGGCCAGCCTGGTCTAAGCCAGGGATACATAGAGACCCTGTCTCAATCCCCCTCTCCCACCCCCCAAAGGTCACCCTCAGTTACATAGCAAATACTCTACAAAAGAGACTGAGTCTCAGGCTGTTATTGAGTACAAGGGCTTGGTTCTCAACCATCTGGGGTGTTCCAGGGGATCTGATGCCCTCTTCTGGTGTTCTTGAGCACTGCATGCAGGCAGTGCACAGGCAAATGTAATCATTAAAAGAAAACAACCGGACCTTCAGGAGATACAGTGTGGCTATCATACGCATCCCCTAAGCAAGGACAGCCACCAAGAGCAACTTTACTGTGGGGAGAAAAATCACCAAGACTAAAATGGCTTTGCAATGATGCATAAAGATAAACCTGTGACCACAGTGATCTGTTATTCACTGTGGTTATAAAATAAAAGATAATATTTCCTGAAAATAATTTAAACTTCAACTATTTCCCCCCCATCTCTTCTCTTTTTTTTATTTTTTTATTTTTTTTTTAACTTCAACTATTTTGGCAACAATTATTAAATTCCAGTTCAGCAATTTAGGGGAGAAGAAAGAATTTTTATTACTGCTATTAAAAAAACAAAACAAAACAAAACAAAAAAACCCAAGCCAAAACACAAAGAGAGGCAGGCTGGAGAGGTGGCTCCTGGGTAAAGCATCCCCCTGCGAGCTTGGCCCTGAATTCAACTCCCAGGTCACTCAGTGGGAGGGAAGAACGAATCTGGTTCCTGCAAGTTGTCCTCTGGCCCCCAATCACACCCTGGAACTGTGGATTCCCTGATGCAATCACAGCACCTGGGAGACGGACTGAGACGATGGCTCGGGGTAAGGGAATGAACTGCTCTTTCAGAGGACCTGAGTCGGCTCCCACCACCACCCGCAACTCCAGCTCCAAAAGATTCAACGCCTTAGGCCTCCCGTGTCCGCATTCATGAATTTGCACCCCTGTCCCCAGCAAAGACACACATAATTTTAAAAAGTTTAAAAATCCTTTTAAAAACTTTCTGTGGGCTGGACAGTTAAGAGCCCTTGCAGCTCCTCCAGAGGGTATAGAACTCAGTTCCCAGCGTTCAGGTCAGAAGGCCCCAACCTTCTCTAACCCTCTTCGGGCATCCTTGGGTAACCTCTCTCTCTCTCTCTCTCTCTCTCTCTCTCTCACACACACACACACACACACACACACACGGCATACAGACATATACATCAGGTTCTGCTGCCGTGAACACCCCAGCCAATACAGGCGGCCTTCAACTTCCGCTGTAGTTCAAGATTGTCTTAACTACCTGATCTTCCTGCCTCCACCCTCCATGAGCTGGGATTACAGGTATGTACTCCTAAATCTGGCTTAATTGTTACTTTAAGTCAAAGGATCGTTATTACCCAGTATATATTTAAAAGCTGACTATTAAACAGCAGGTTTGTCATTCTGTGTCTGTACAGGTGCATGTGGAGGCCAGAGGTCAACCTTGGCTGGCATTCTCGAGAGCCATCCACCTTGGGTTTTGAGGCAGTCTCCCCTGCTGGGACCATCCCCCACTAAATTAGCTGAGCTCCAGGGATCCTCCTGCCTCCGCCTCCCCAGTTCAGGGATTACAAGTGTGCTACAACGTCTAGCTTGCTATGTGGTTACTAGGAATCAAACTGAGTCCTCAAATTTAACTGACTGAGCTGCCTTCCTACATGGAGTTGTGAGTTGCCCTCTGCACAGAGAAGGCTCCTGTTGGGGACCAGCCTCAATAAAAATACCACTGTTTCAGCCCCTGGAAAGTTTGGGGTACATGCCAAATACCAGGACCATGGGCTATTTGTCATGTCCTTATCTCAAAAACAAAACTACCATCCCAGCATGGTGGAGCACATCTTTAACCCTAGCCCTGTGAAGGCAGAGGCAAGTGGACTTCTGGGAGTTGAAAGCCAGCTTGGTCTACACAGTGAGTTCCAGGCTAGCCAAGGCTACATACACAGAGACCCTTAAAGCCCACACATTTCCCACGTAACGACCTTCCATATGAGCTGCGTAGCAGAGGGTCATCCTTTTGGAGGTCATTGTTTCTATGGCAACTTGGAAGGACAACTTGTGGAGGACACTTTTTCCACAGTCCCCATGCACTGAAGACCTTTCTAGCGCAACAATCTGTTGACTGATTTCTTCAACAGGGTTCAGACTACTAATGAGTTCGTGCCAGCACCACCACTACATTTCAGTTCCAAAAGAAATCTAAGGCTGGGGAGATGGTTTAGTATGTAGAGGCACCTGCCCTTTGACCTTTATGTTCGTGTGCATGTGCACGTGCGTGTGTGTGTGTGTGTGTGTGTGTAAATAAATGTAATAATTATTTAAAAATTACCCAAGAAAATAAAAACTTGTTCAAGGGTGAACATTTAAAAAACATGTCATCAGGCCAAGCATGGTGGTACACACCTTTAACCCTAGAGCTTGGGAGGCAGAGGCAGACAGATCTTTGTTGAGTTCAAGACCAGCCTGGTCTATATAGTGAGTTCCAGGCCAGCCAGGATTATACAGGAATCTAGCATGTTTTTCACCAATTATTTTAAAAACATTTTCTTTCTGAAGATCATCTACTAGGAAATTAACACATTCAATTTTTTTTAATTATTATTATTGTGGGTATGGGTGTGGCATGGCCACAAGAACTTCACAGGGTTCTTTATCTCTCTCTTTCATCCTAACCTAGGCTCCAAAGAGCAATCTCAGGACGTTCGGCTCACGTGGCGAGGCCTTTACTCACAAAGCCATCCCACTAGCCTGGCAGTTTCTTAAAATGCAAAATAACAGTAGCTACAGTCTCAAAGCCACATCTTTAGGGTGCAGAGAGAGGGGCTGTATGGAGAAGTGATTTTCGAAGTCTCGGGATACCTTTAAGGCCATGTTTCAGGCAGTGCTCCATAACCACGAAGAACTGCTGCAGAGGGGGGTAGTCCGAGTCCAGGGTGCGGCCAAAGCTCAGGGCAGACTCAATGAGCCCTTTGATGCTCAACTTAGCCATGTTTAACAAGTTGGCTCTCTCCACAGCTGTGGGGTCTTTTGTAGCTGAAAAGCACAAGGAAAGTCCAACGTCACTCCCAGGACAGGACAATGACAAGCACACACGTCTGTCCCGGCCCATGGGAACCAACACTGTTAGCTTTTCTGTGGTTGCCAATCAGATATCACCTCAGACCAAGGTGCCATGACGTGACCTCCTTATTTCTCTCGCACAAGCCACAGCAAAATGCCATGTCTGCTGCGGCCCCTACACTCAGGTACGCACTATTAAAAGTGTTTTTAAAAAATCAGCTGTTTACCCAACACTTCAAACACTGTCAAGTGGCAGAAATATTTTCTGCAAAGATGATAAATCTGAGATGCGAAAAACAAAGCACTTTACTTAGCTAACATTTTATAATCCCCACATAGCTCTTGGCGCAGGGGTGCGCTTTTAATCCCAACATTTGTGAGGCAGAGATGGGTGTGTGTGTGTGTGTGTGTGTGTGTGTGTGTGAGAGAGAGAGAGAGAGAGAGAGAGAGAGAGAGAGAGATCTGAGTTTGAGACCAGCCTATGCTATGTAGTGAGACATGTTTAAAAACAAACACCTTCAAATAAATGACAAATCAGGTGGTTAAGGCGTTCATCAGATCGGTTTACGCTGTTTAGTGGAGCGCTGTCTTAAAACTAAACAGCTGGGCGGGAGGCTCATTTCAGAACTAGGGAGCCAGAGACAAGAGGATCTCTGTTCTTCCTGCTCTGCATAGCGAGCTCCTGGACAGCCAGGACTATAGTCATAGGGAGAACCTGTCTCAAACAAAAGTCCATTTTTCTGGTACTGGGGGAAAAAATAAACCAACCAAAAAAGCAGAGTTCCCCGTGCTCTAGTCCTCTATTATGATTTGGATTTCAACTCTCTAGGCTGAATCCTGACTCCGAATCCTCCGCAATCTAAAACTGGCAGGCTGGATAGTGAAGGATCTTCACGCACCATCTCCTCTACTCGGCCCTCTACTCGGCGGTGGTGTGATTCCCTCTCCCCATTCCCACCCTCGCGGTGAAACCACCTGACGTTTCATAATCGGCAGCATTCTCTTTTTAGAGTGTTCATCACAACCTGTAACCTGCAGTGGACAAGCCTAGGAGGGCGGCTGTGCAGCAGAGGCCGCAGGTGGAGCCGGCAGCCGCGCTCCCGGCTCCCTAGAGCCGACCCGGCTCCCTCGGCGTCCCCAGCCTGCACCGGAGGCCCCCCGGGGCGCGCTTCCGGGGCTTGGGCACCGCACCGATCCCCTCCCCAACCCTCCGTCCACCACCCGCGAGACTGGGAAACCATCTCTGTCCCCGGACGCTGCGGTCCCCGCCCGTCCATTGGCCCCAGCAGCCAGGCCCCAGAGCGGGCGGGGCGCAGGGATGCGGGCGGGCGCGCGTTGCCATGGCGACCCCGGGAGCCCCCTTGTTCCCCGATGATTGCGCGGACCCGGCGGTGGGTGGTGACCCCGGCTGCTGCCCTTACCCATGGTGACGGTGCGTGTGGGACACGGGCTCTCCGGGCGGGTCAGCAGCTCCCCGCAGGCGCGCCGCGGCCACGGCGTCTGACTCTGCTCGGTGCGGTCACAGCGCCCCTGGCGGCGGGAGGACGCCACGGCCGCACGAAACCGGTCCCCGCGGACCATCCCCGCCTGAGCGACCCTGGCGCGACAGGGAAAGCGTGGCGGGGACCTGGAGGTGGGGCTCTGGGGCTGCAGCACAGCGCCAAGGGTGGCTATAAAAGGGGCCTCAAGTCACTTGCAAACGTTTTATTCACGCAGGTTGGATGGGCTTAATGGAACGCACCGGGCGGCTCCCTTTGATCTTGACAAACCCGGAGCAGGCCGCCAGATTTTAGGAAACCTCATACCACTAACAGAGTCGGAACTGTATGCAATCCCAGCATTTAGGAGATAGGAGTTAGAAGGATCCGTAGTTGAAGATCAGGCTCAGGGACATAACGGGTTTGAAACCAGCCTAATCTCAAAAACAAGACACTGCTAGTCCCAGCACTCGCGCAGAGGTGGAAGCCAGAGATTGCTGGGAATTTAGGGTTACTCTGAGCTACATAGCAAGTGCCAGCTCATCCAAGACTACTGTCCCAAATGACAAAATGTAATACTTTGTAGGAGGGTGTGGTGGACCTCTAAATACCAACTCTTAGGTGGAAGCAAGATGACTTGGAGTGCTTTGATTGCTAAAATTCCTTTCCCGGAGGAGGCGTAAACAAAGTCTGCCCAACCCTTCTAAAATCCTAAGGAAAAGACGGAGCTACATTCGACCAAAGCCATTCACCCTGAAGAAACAATAAGCGATGGGGAGACGTGTGGGTGATCTTGAAACTGTATAGATGATCACACACACACAAACACACACACCACCCACATGGACAGGACACCACAGCCAGAGATATACAGAAACCCTGCCGAGGTAAAAACAAAAACCTATCCATGAAATCCACAGCTAGGTAGAAAAATTGCTTTACTTTCTTTAGCTGTTTCTTACTTCCCCATACCTAGGAATAAAAGGACATTTCATCCCTTGCCTATAGCGATGGGCAGGCCTTACAGAAGCAAAGGCAGCTGTTAATACCTCACAGCCCACTACCCTCCTCTCCCCTGCAGGCGGCTAGGATCTCCAGGCTTTCCAGAGCAAAGGTCAGCAGATCTTCCGGATGCCTGGCTCCAGATGACATGTCTTTAATCGTTGCCAGGAAACTGTGGAAGTTCTGACTTAGCTCTGCTCCCTGAGGACTGGGTAGCCATCAGGTTAGGGCTGGCTACTATGTCTTCACGCTGGGATTAAAGGTGTGTGTGCCACAACTGACCAGCCAGGGTTACCTTAAATTTACTTGAGTAAAGTCAAACTTTTTCTCTAAAATTTCTCAAAATTTCCACCACTGGGTCTAGAGATGTGGCCCAGGATTTGTGCTGGATCTGATCACACTGCAACAGAACCCGGAACTAAACTTAACGTTTCTACCAGCTGCGTGCAATTTTGACTGTTCTCTCTTGGGATGCTCGGAAGTGAGAATTTCCCTATTTTATTACTGTCTTGTAGGTATGTGGCTGAATATTGGGCTTATTCTGTATTTATGTTACTGTGGGGACCACCTTTCCTCATGGTTGGGCCTTATTTATGGTTCGAGATTTGTTTTTTGTTTTTTTAAGACTTATTTATTATGTATACAGTGTTCTGCCTACACACCAGAAGAGGGCACCAGATCTCATTATAGATGGTTTTGAGCCGCTAGGGTCCTCTGAAGAAGTCAGTGCTCTGTTTTTTGTTTTTGTTTTTCAAGACAGGGTTTCTCTGTGTTGCTTTGGAGCCTGTCCTGGAACTAGCTCTGTGGGCCAGGCTGGCCTCAAACTCACAGAGATCCACCTGTCTCTGCCTCCCCAGTACTGGGATTAAAGGTGTGTGCCTCCACTGCCAGGCAGAGCAGCCAATCCTCTTAACTATCTCTCCAGCCCACTTTCGCAATTTGTAAAGACCTTGTTCAAGTCTTTGATCTTTTCCTCACTATCTTAGATTTACTATTCTATAGGAGTCTTTTTTTTAAAATATATTTATTTATTTATTTATTTATCATGTATACAATATTCTGTCTGTGTGTCTGTCTGCAGGCCAGAAGAGGGCATCAGATCTTATTTCAGATGGTTGTGAGCCACCATGTGGTTGCTGGGAATTGAACTCAGGACCTTTGGAAGAGCAGGCAGTGCTCTTAACCGCTGAGCCATCTCTCCAGCCCTCTATAGGAGTCTTACTCTTACTTGCTTTGCCGTGTTCTCATTGTCCTCTGGTTTGTCCCTCTCTCTCCTACCATGTGCACTCCAGGATCTAACTTAGTTCATCTGGCTTGCCTTTACCCTTGAACCTCCTCCACGGCCCTGGTTTAGTTCGCACTTTTCCATGTGTATAGGTGTTTCGCTGGCATGTATGTCTGGGCATCACACATGTGTCTGGGGCCCAGGTAGGCCGGAAGAGGTCATCAGATCCGTTTAAGACTGCAGTGCACCCACATGGCAGTTCACTGGCTGTCACTCCAGTGACCTCCAGTGCATCCAGTGCCACCCCCACACCAGGTGCACATGCAGCACACACAGACATACAGGTAAAACACCCATGCACATAAAAACAAATTTTTAAAAGTTGAAATACGAACTGACTTGTTCGCTTTTCCCTTCTATAAATGATGAGTAAAAAGGCTCAGGAGTCTAAGTCCTTCCAGAAAAAGCAAGTAAGATTAAGTACATATTGCATAGGACCAGGAGAGCATTAGGCACGGCAGCACATGCCTGTAATCCCCGCATTAGACATTTCTGCAAGGTTTGGGGCCAAGTTGGTCTTCATAGTAAGTTCGGGCCTAGCCATGGCCATTTAACAAGATCCCTTCTCAATAGTCAAATAAATAATACAAAATGTACTACAGCCATCAAGAAGAACCTTGGAGGACACACAGGGTCACTAGAGATTGGGGGTGTAGCTCAATTGGTAGCGTGCTTGTCTCAGATGCATGAAACCCCGGGTTCAATCCCCAGCACGGTATGAACTGTGGGTAGTGTATATTTGTGATCACAGCTTTCAGGAGGAAACGGGTTAGGCTCGTCCTCAGTCTGAGGCTAGACTCTGACTCAGAATGGGGAGAGGGGGCTCAGCAGCCTCTTCTAGGAAACTGCCATTAAAGTGAGGGGAGAAGGGGAAACATCAGAGGTCAAAACGAACTGTTACCAAACCAGGCCTGTTTTACCTGACAGTCACCCAAACCGTCAGTTCTGCAAATGTAGTCCCGCTCCAGCTGAGGATGGAGACAGGTGAGCAGGTTAAGTCTGTGAAGGACAGGCCCCCTGCGTGTGGGAAGGGAAGCGCAGCGGCTGGCAGGCACTGCTCTATGAACCCACCTGGATTAGCATCATGGCCTACTCCACAGCATCTTACATGCCAGACCCAGCCTCAAACTTGTGATCATCCTGCCTCAGTCCTCCTGAGTGATGAGATTAAAATTGGTTTGCAGGACTGGCTAGACAGTAACTAGGCCAGGCTATGTGGGTTAAGTCTCGGGAGGAGCAGTGGTTGTCGATGACAGCTGGGCCAGAGAGGAGTCAGGTGAAGCTAGTAAGCCAGGGGAGATTTTCCCTTGTTTTCAAGTAGGTCCCAGAAATGGGGCTGCTGAAAGGCTTTTATCTTAATGGGCCCTTGCTCCGACACACACAGCATTGTTGAGGCATAGAAGACCTCATTTGGGCTTAACTCCAACCCCAAAGCTCAAAGCACGGAAACATCTATGCAGAAAACATATAACTCTTTCACATAACTAAGTGACAAGAATTGGGACCGGAGGTGGCTCAGTGGTTAACGGCACCTGTTGCTCTTACAGAGAGCCTAGGTCTCATTCCCAGCACCATGTTGGGAGGCTCACAACTGACTGTAATTCCAGCTCCAAGGCATTGCCATCCTCTTCTGCCCTCAGAAGGTGACTGTACACACTCACACACATGTGTACATACGCACACCCAATTATAAAAAAAAAATAACAATCATCTGTAATGAGATCTGGTGCCCTCTTCTGGCCTGCAGGCAGAGCACTGAGGATACTGTATACATAATTAATAAATAAATCCTTAAAAAAAAAAAAAAGTACTCAACTTCATTTGGAAAAGCAAAAAACCCAGGACAGCCAAAACAATCCTGGGCAATAAAAGAATTTCAAAAAAAAAAATAACACACTTTAAAAATCTTTCTGTTCGGCTCCTCCCGGAACTGAAATCATTTCCAGCTTCCGACTCTCATAACAGCCTAAAGATATTTAAGCAATGATAGTTAACTCTTCCATCTGCTGCCAACTCTCTTCTTGCTGGGTGGTGGCGCACACTATTAATCCCAGCACTCGGGAGGCAGAAGCAGGTGGAACTCTCTGAGTTCAAAGCCAGCCTGGTCTACAGAGCGAGTTCCAGGACAGGCTTCAAAGCTACAGAGAAATCCTGTCCTGGAAAGCCAAAAAACCAAAACAAATACACGAAACAAAAAAACCTTTCTTCTTTATGCGGCTTTGGTCAGGGTGCTTTATCTCAGCAAGAGAAAAGTAATCGATACAGTATGAGCAACATTTCACATATCACCGTGGGAAAAATGCTAGACACCAGAGCTTGATCAA